AGGGTGGAGGGCAAATTCTCTCATGGGAGACATTGGTGCCCAGTGAAATCTGCATGGGACAACCCTGCTGGATAGTTTAGAATACCACGGGAAAGGCTTTAGCTGCAGCTATTAACTAACTGCAGTAGGGTGTCTAGGTCTCTCCTGTCAGACTCTCTGCTGCACAATATTAATGTAGCAGAGGAGCAACAATAACAGAAAGTGAAGTTACATTAACTTAAAAAACAAGACAAATTTATTACAAGTTAACAGTCCTTTAATGCACCCTCACAAAGTTCGAATGTTCATAAAGAAAATTACGTGAGGTCAAGTGTGCTATTTTTAAAATATAACAACCTGATAAACCTTGAGCTAATACCCAAGGACAAAGCTGGTACTGAGATACTGCACATTCCAATGAGGAATTAAATATTAATATCGAAGGCTATTGCTAGTTTCTTACAGGTCTCAACATTACTGAATCTCGCAGTAGCAGAGCTGAGAGCCAGACCCTGTGCTCTTCGGTCCCAGACCTCCCATCAATTTCAAATGGAATCAGCCCTCTGTAAAGACTGAACAAAAATAGAAATGGGCCTTGCTGTACTAGAAACAGAGTGTGAAAACCTATGGAAGCTGGTAAGTCTGAGACATTTGCCTTTACAGCTCCAATTCAAATCTCCCCTTGCAAATAGAGTCAGTATGCTGAGGTTTTCATGTCCTAAGGAGAAACTTGATGTAACATGAGTGTCTTGCAGTATTTTACAAGACATGCTTAACCTCTTAATGTGTGTCATGCAAAGATTAAGAGGCAGTGTTATTGCTTGCAAAACCACCTGCTATTTCCGGGAAACAGTCATTTGCTGGACCCGTCCTTGTCACTAGCATAAATATAATGCTTTTCATAATCTCCCATTGCCTAAGTGATGTGTTTGCATCAAAGTGATGGATATGCTATAGCTGCAGAATTTTTTACAATCTGCTCATTTCTATCTTGTTCTTTTGGTGCCATCTAGAGGTTATAGTCTTCAGTTCTACAGAACAAAAATAAAGTGTTGCACTATATTTCACAAGTTTTCCTTAAAAACTGTCTGTGCATTAACATCACTTAGAGTATTGTTATCACTGAACCTCTGTCTCCGTACAAGAGCAGATTAATGAGGTGTGCACAGGTTTTTGAGCTGTGGGATGCAAGTGAAGCTTATGGGCTGGTGAAAAATTTACACTAAAGGCAAATGCTGTCATAAAAATTAAAAAAAAAATACCCTCATAAAAAGCACCTGTAAATTGGCCTTAGGAGGAATTTTCACAGAGCTTGTTTCCAAGAAAATAAACAGTAACTTATCAAAGCTGATTCAAAGGAAGCAGGTGCTTGGAGAAAAGCAGCCTTGCCAGCCTCGTAGCAGAATGCCAACATGACAGACAGAGACATGAGTTTGGTCTGCTGGCACCTGCCTACCATGACAACTCAATGATGCTCCATTTCACACTAGACCTGCCTAGAAAAGTGCAACATGAAACTCAGACAACACAAAACTCACCAGTGTGACAGAAAAACATTCTAATAGAAACATTTCTTCTTAAAGGTAGCAGAAATAGCTAATTCACTGCAATGGGTCCCTGGATTTGTAAAAATAACAGGCTGGATTCACATCCAGTGTAACTAAGTCAGTCTCCCTTGACCTTAGTGTGAGTAGGATCATTTGGCATCAAACCTCCTCCAGCAAATCTTGCTTTCTTCTCTTCCTCCTTCAGAATGGTTATTAATTAAACTAATGCTGAAGCCAAGTCTGTGAAGGGTGTGTGCAAATGTTAATATGCCTCATCATGTATTCCATCTGACTTGACTACCAGAGCATGTTTTTTGTCCCTCTAATATCTGTCCAATTGTATTGCCCCTCCAGACAACTAGATACACGTTTGCTCTGAAAAGACAGTACTTTTTAAACACAGTTGACCCAATTCATTTTCTAGCACTGATAAGATTTTTAAATGTGTACAAAAGAATCAAAGGTACACTGAGCACTGAAAAATGTGAAACGGTTTATAGGAAGTCTTTTGAATGCAATGTTCCTGTGAATGATAATTTCTGTACTTCAGCAGAGGATTAACTGTCATAATAAATTATTTCTGTTTGCCCTTAAGGAAGTAAGTGAAGCTTGCTTAACTAAGAAGGCCAGCTAATGGTACAACTGAGATGAGACTAACCTTGTCTCCTGTGCCAAGGATACCTCTCAAAAGCTGCCATAACATGCAATAATTTGATAGTGTCAGCTAAAATTAACCTGTGTACTGTAGAAAGAGATAAGAATAATACTAAATTCTTGCTGATACTCACTTTACATGCTATGGAGACTGGCTCTGACGTTTTGTGAGACTGCAGTTGTAAGATTTTGAAAACCTTACAGGCCTTTAGTAAGAAATCAGAGTAGAAAAGAAGAAAATTTGAGTTATTTTATTGGAAGACTTTCTGAAGTTTTTGTGATGACAGATTAATGTAAAAAAAAAAATTCTTATTTTGATAGATTTTTGGAGGATAAATCCTTGTTTCCTTTGTGTCCTAAAATTTCCTAATAAAATTAGCTCATGCAATATCACGGTCTTGAGACTTTAGCCTTCTTGGACACTTTCCTTTAATGACCAGACACAGAATATGGTTCCATAGCCACAAGAATTTTTCCCCCACAAAGAAGCCTTTTTCATCACTGCGGAGTGTAATTCCTGTCTGGTTATACTGTACTTCAGTATAAAATCACTGTTTGTTGGCTCTAAGCACAAAAATCTTTCAAAAGCTGTTTATTTAAAATCAAAACATCTCTTAATAAAGTGTGATTAGAGATTATTTCCTTTCCAGAGCTGGCCTGCTGTTTTTTATCATGACTACTCGCAAATATCAGTGAGTTGCAAAGGAGGCTTGCAGGTTTTTTTACTTAAGGAATTTGAAATTACAGTGAATCCATCCTCATCATTATCTGTTCAATCATTATCTGTTCATTATCAGGTTCTTAAATAGTCTACAGTACCACACCCTCAATCCCTCCTGCAATATTATAAGTTCAGGTAAAATACAAGAAGTAGAAAAACCTTGTAAATCTAGCATTTAACATGCTCATGTGAGAAGCAGGTTTCCTAGCTCATCTATTTTTACTTTTACCTAGTTAGACTAGTAAAAAAAAGATACACAGAAGCAGCATTTCCAAATACAGAGAAGTCTGGGGATTAGTGCACTGCCTTTGGTGTTCAGAGATACAGATTCAAATCCCCATGGATGGAGAGGGGGGGAAGAGTAACGCTGCTTTCCTGCCTCCCAGATGAGTGCTCCAAGCTACTGTGTCTGACAGCTTGTAAATTGGCTTCTCATTTCCTTTGCTTTTCATTTGTCTCAAATATAAAACATTTTTTGAATAAAGTGTTTGTTTGCCAGACAAAACAGTGGAAGGTCTATGTCACTTAGATGAGAAAAACAAAATGAAAAAAGATCTGAGATTAGGTAAGTTTACTCTGAAACTGATTTTCTGGGGGTTTTTCATTTTGTCTGCTAGGGAAAAAAAACCAACTCACAAACAAAAACCAAACAAACAAACAGAAAAAAAAAAAAAACACCAACAAAAAAAGAAACCCAGAACAATTTCCGTATTTTCCACAGTTAAACTCAGAGGCTGCCAGAGACTCATCACTGGCTTCCAGGCATGACCCATGAAACCCCAAACACAAGGTACAGTCCCCATAGCTGTGCCAAACCCTTTCATCAAGTTTCACCTGTGAAGATCTTGCAGAGTGCCATTTCTCCTTACCCAAGCTCCCCTGTCTCCCACAGTGCTCCCTTTCCCACACATTTATCCTAGAGACTGCAAGAAGTCACGAGAGAGGAGGGCTGCATCTGGGATGTTTTTATCACCAGTGTTACTTACCATTAGAAGAACTCTGCTGGAAGCTGCTTAGCAAATTACAAAGGTTCATCTAGGTAGATAAATGAAATTCTATTGAACAGGAAAACTCATCTGAAAAAGCCAATGCTTCAAACACTCAATCATGTGTTGTATGACAGGTATGTTATAATCTCACTGAAGCTCATTCTATCTGATCACTTCATGATACACATATATTGAGATCTTTGCCCAGCAGGACATCAATTCACTCAGGGAAGAGTTTAGTTATTCACTTTGAATAGAGGAGAATCAAAGACATAATTATCTTAAGTGACTGAATTGTATACATGTCGTTTGGTATCAGTGTAAGCTTGCATCTTGGCCTGTACTGTAAAGAGTAAATTAACATCAGAAGTGTCACCCAGTGACTGTGGTTAACCATAATTTTCATTCTTTATTGAAAGTTGATAGTCTGTATGCTACCAGCTGTGAAATTGTACTGTAATTAATAATTAAACAATGAAAGAGAGTAAACAGAACTAGTTAGGTGTCATTTGGAGCAGTAAGTAACAAAGGTGACTTTTGAAGTTTTATTATCACACAAAAAAAGAAAACCAACATATAACCATGTGACCTATACTACGACTATAAAACAACGGTATCACTATTAAAGAGATGCTATCCACTAGACTTACAGGATCAGGGGCTCCAAAGCCAAAGGAACTGTGTGTGGAACAAAGCAGGAACTATCTCTGAATATGTATTGAACTGCAGTTCTCTACCTCTACTGACGGGACGTTTTTTCGCAGAGTGTGGTTGGGTTGTTTGGGGTTTTTTGCAGAGGGTTGGGGAGGGTGGAAATGGAGGTTTCCTGTAGGTTTGTGCAATTTTCCATTGCATATGGTGACCTCTGGCAGGCTTTTTGCTATTTGCAAGTCACACCCCACTACATGTATTCAAAATGAGACTGCTGCAGTGTATACAGCACCATAGCACAGCTACCTCCCTGAAGCAAACTCCTAAAAGCCCAGTTTCCCTTTGGACATTATCAATAAGTTATGTGAGGGAATACCTCAATTACAGCTTATGTATTCTATTTTATTTTGTTTGTCAAACACAATGTCAAGCTTTTCTTCATACTGGATGTTGCGTGCCCTAAGGTTGGAGGACTTCCTCTGATGGTGGGATTGGGCTGGGTTTAGCAAGCTGGCCAGGCTTAATTTCAGGCATTTTTTCACCATGTTTGTACACACTTATAGTGACATCCACTTTTTCCCCACCATACTTGTTCTTGACATGGATGCTATATTTGCCGGAGTCTTCTGAGGTCACTCCCTTGATTGTTAAACTGGCATATTTCCCTTGTTCCAGTGAAAAAGCATAGTGCTCATTAAGTTCAAAGACCTTGTCATTCTTGAACCAAGACACTTCAGGGTCAGGATTTCCAAATACAGTACAGGTCAGATTCAGCGTCTGAGGGAGGAAAAAAGAAGTAATTTTGAGGATCAGTCAGATTTGTTTAACCAGAATATTCTCAATATTGCTTTCAGGCACTTCTTACTCCTAGTTAATTAAGACAGGTATCATGTTCCTGAGGACTGAAAATTAGAGTTTTTAATATTTCTTTTTTTTATTTGATTCAGTCTTTCCACCATCTTAGCAGTGACTGTAATGCAATAATAGCCTCAGGGTAACATTGTCTGAAGATGGTAAGTTGGGCTGTCATTGCAGTCCTGCCTGCAGGAGACTCCTGACAACCCATTAGTCCCACATGAGGTTCAGGCAATGATAGGTTTAAAAACATCCTTGATGTTTCCCTGTACACAGCAGGGAGGAGAACTAAGGAAATCTTTTCTGACCAAGGCTTCCTAAGTTATTGCTTGAGATGATTAAAAATAAATCACTTAAAAACAGAGTACATAACGTGAATCATTGGACATTGACTCCAGGTGCAGCTGACTGGTAAAATGGAAATATTTCACAAAGAATAAATACTACGTAAACATTGTAAAAGTGTTACACGCTTATTGAGAGAGTAGCTGAAATGACCTAGTAGACCATCCTGGTATTTCAGGTATTTTCCAAGGACTGAACTGAGACTGAAGAAGCCAATAAAATTTTCATGGTTGTTCTTCCAAATTTTTATAGTTAGTGTTGAATCCCATTTTGACGTCCATACGTACATGTATGTACACTACATGTATTTAGGTACAGTGATGACAGAATAAATAAAAGAACCATCTGAAAAGTTGCATTAATTAATGACTACTTTATCCACCTTTACTTGGAACTCATTCTGCTGAAAATTCTGCCATAGATAATTAAGTCACCTCAAGAATTTCATATATGCACCATTGTGTTAGGGGAAAAAACAATGAAACAAAGAAACAAAAACAAAACAAACAAAAAAAAAACCCAAAAAACAAAAACAAAACCCAACAAATCATGACCAAAGAAAAATACCCCAAGCAATGAGCAATGCAAAATTGATAGTTTCTACCAGAATGCTTCCTTATTTTCCCTCCCCTCCGTATTCCCCTTTAGGTTTCTCCAAATCCTGACCCACAGGGAACAGAGGAAGTCCATCTGTGTGTGTGCATACATGTATGCTTCTGTGCAATATTTTTATTGAATGATGATGATTGAATAGGTGTGAAGAGGGAAAAATGAAACAGAAAAACATTTTAAGTGATTTAAAAATCCATATATTCACATATAGAAGCAGCTACATGCCTCCAAGGTCAGAGAGGAATGTTGAAGGAAGATTTACCTGCTCTGAGTACAACCTAGTGACATCATAAGTGCGTGAGTACTCTTTAAGAAATTATATCATGTAGGATGTAAAGTTAACTAATAGTCTATAGGAACTAGCCTTACTATAAAATATTTAAAGATTTAATAATGTAAACATGAAAATAAAATTTTAGGAAATCAAACTAACATCTAATAGCATGAATTTAAATCTTATTGTCCTTTCTATAACCCAGGCCATATTTCATGACTATTGCCCTTTCAAAGTGACTTCATTTAAAAGCAATTAATAATTAAACAATAATAATTGATCGAGTCTTAATAAGTTAATATTAAAATCTTACCAGAGAAAAGATATATTCCACAGTCTTTTTAGATCATTTTGGGCCTGTTCTAATTTATTAAATAATAAATGTGACCTAAAATCATTTATAATCTCTTAAGAAGCACTAGTAAAGCTTCATGTCCATATATTTGTTTAGTTACGCTGTTCCATTGCATGAAGAAAACTCTTCACTTTTTTTTTAATTTTTTAATTTTATACTTAATTGTCACACTTGTACTTACACAGCTCTTGCCTGGTACCTGTTAATATTTAATTTAAAGATGATTTTAAAGTCTCACTTCCTTGTGATCCATTCCTTTTTGCTTGATTGCAGGAATTAAATATTTTCATATATTCAGTTATTTAATCCTTAATCATGAGGTTTCCTTTGAAGACTTCTGATTCTGGAAATGCACTTTGTAGCATTTCTTTAATTTAAGGTTGTAGGTTTTAGGGTATGATTTTGTGAGGAAACTGCAGCTAGTGTGGATATGCAGTTAGGGGTGACTCCACTGAGCTGTTTCCTTACAGTTAGATTGTTTGAAGATGTTGGTTGTAGAGTGTGTTACACTTAACCTCCTAAAAGACTAGCTTTCTTGCTGTGTCTACCACAATAAGAAGGTCCCTTATATGAACTTGTACTAGAGACAAAGGAAGGAATGGGCCAAGAGGAAAATCATCTCTATATGGTCCAGAGTTGAACAGCTTTCAGCATCCAGTATAAGGACCATATGTTCCCCTGTCATCCTAAAGAGACTGCTCCTGGATATCCAGAAAATGGTGAAGTACACAGAGTTAGAACAGTTGTGTGCAACCTCTTACTCTGCTGTTAAGAAAGAATTTTCATACAGAAGAATGCAGCTATAGTCTCTGAAGATTCACTTCATACAAGAGACATAAACAGCCTGATCAACATGCTTTTGATAGCCAGCAGATGGTAAGAGTCACATCGGCTCATGAGCTGATCTGCTGTATCCTGTCGGAATGAAAGTCCATCTAACTCTCTTAGAGGTCAAAAGCAACTGCTTAAGAAAGTACACAAAAATACAGAGGGTGAATAGCACGATCCTATTCCCAGTATACCTTCCTACTTTCCACAGATTTGTGGCATTTAAACTGGTTATAAGACTGATTCCTCTTGAGGCTGACCTTGCTTGCCTAAGATCTGAATCAGGCTGTGCTTCCTCTGAGTGCGTAGTCAGCTTATGGTACCTGTGCTTCCTTAGAATTCGCATGTGTCTTAATTAAATTACTACTATTACATGGTTTAAATTAACTTCCTTTGCTTTCAGCTTCTATGAAATCATCTGCATTCCCTCCCCTTTTACCATAAAAGCAAACTTCTTACCAGTCAGCATTTCTTTGACAAAAACTGTCCTTACCTTCCCATCCATTATAGTAACGACATCAGGCAAACCACCAATGACTTTACCACGATCTAGGAGTTAAAGAAAAATATATTGGCCATGTGATGTTTAGACCTCAAAATTACTAATTCCTTACTGATTTTATAACTTGGCATCATATTAGTCACAGCTTTTGTTCAAACTTATCTTTTTAAAAAATGTAGTTCCTGATTAACTAAATGTATAAAAACATGTGTTGTTTCTTTTTAATGCATCTTATGGTCCCCTCTTTTTTCAGTAGATTGTGCTATAGCATTCTAAACTGATATATGTAACAGCCTTGAAGCTACTGGTGAGCTTGACAGTTTGTGCTTTGGGCAGAGAGCAAAGCTAGGAGAATGATTTTAGCATTTTGGTGATATCTAAGATTGAAGGAAAATTTGTTCTGCCATTCTCTTTGTGGGCAGAAGCATCTTGTCATTACTGGGGGAATTGACATCAAAGAACCAGAATTCCTAAAGCCCCTAACAGTAATAAGGTTCCCTACTGTGTGTATCTCAGTAAGCACTGCCCAACAGGCATTAGCAGCTAATTTTTTACTTAACAGGTAGATTCAAATATTCAGTGTCAGCAGCAGCTTTCAGAGTCAACACATCCTTATATGACACCTAGAAGCTCACACCTCACAAACTTCTGCAGATACGACAAGATACAGTGGAGGTTTTCAAAATGTGTAAAACTTTAGTGGATTGCCATTGGAATTAAAAACAAATAAATCCAAAAATTACTATTATTATTGCAGTATTATATGATAACAGGGGATTTCTGCAGCCACAGAACCCTGAAAGCTATGACAACATACCATGACAGATGCCTTAAAGTGAACACTATAGTCTAGATTGTAGAACACCTTTGATAAAATGTAAAATAAACTTACTCTTCTCAGCAAAAGCAGCTGCCCTAAAATTGTTGAGGAAAAGGAAGAGAAATAATTATTGTTATTAATGTAATTATTAACAAAATATTTTTTCTATAAGTAAAGACACTTGTTATGGCATTAAAATGCAAAAGATGTAGCACTTACTTGAGTCGCTGGAATTCTGCACATGCATCATCAAAAGCTGTAACAAAACAATTGAGAGAGTTTTGCCCATTAATATAAATTGCACTTGGGGCTCAGTATAAACGTTTAAACAGATATCCATGTTAAAGCTCTTTTAAAATCCATACAGGGTTACACAGTAGCAAAACGGAAAAACAAGCTCCTGAAACTTCATGCCACTGGTGGTGGAAACAGATGTAAGATTAAAACTATCATAACAGTTATGCAACTAAACTAGAATTGGTTCTGACCAAAGGCTTTCTGGTTTTACCATCAATCCTCTCATTCTTGCCAGTAAATTCTGTTTAATCCACAAAAAGTCACCATAGAAGTACGGTATTCTAAATATACCTTGCCCAGACAGATCGAGTGTGCGTTTGTAGGATTGCTTGCTGCCAAAGATTTCAATAGTATAGTTCCCCTTATCCTTTTCAGTAGGTTCACTTATCTGCAGCCAGGCAACATTCTCTCCACCTCCAATCTTCATCTTTTCACTAGAAGAAATCTTAGATTCCCTGGAAAACATCAATGGAAATGTTTACGAACATTCTTTTAATGTATATTCTCCATAGTAGATCATCTGTAAATTACAAAGAATAACATCCCATTCCTAATCTACAGATAAACAGCAACTAACAGGAGCAATTTACCAGAAGATTCTTTTCTTCCTTGTACGGGTATAAAACACTTTAGAAAACTAGCTTGAGCTTAATTTCCAGAGATAAATTTAGAGTTCTGTACACTTCATACACATTAACATAGAATATATAAGAGTAGCAAACTAGAGGCAAATAATCTTTTCTGATGAGAAAAAAAAAAACCTTTACCTTTACATCAGAAATTAAGAAAACCATAAAATATTTGCATAAAATGTATTGCTTTTGCATCAAAATTCACCTTTGGTGGGTTTTTTAAGAATGAGAAGCAAACTGAATTAATAAATAGGTCTTTAAAAACAGTGGCATTATATTGACTTATCATCCCTTTATCAGCTAAGAATACAAGAAATGCTGTCCTGATTCAGACTGGGATTTCTTCTTGTCCATAATCTGTCATGAAGAGTGGAAATAGAAGAAGCTATTTAATGAGAGCATGCAAAGCAGACTGCTTTTAATGCTTTGAAGAGAAGTTCTCTTCCACTCACTAACTAAAGAAATATTTCTTTTCATCCTTCCTCCCCAAGCATCTTTAGTTGGAATTTTTAATAGATGAAGTCAGCATTAGCTTGTCTTTGATCAGTTATTTTATTTGTCCAGACAGGGCTGATTTGGCTTCATAGCAGAGTTACTTTCATGGAGAGAGGAATTTTCACTATTTCCCTTTCTGTAAGATGACTATATTGAGTTCAGTGTACCAAATTAGATAGCTGGATAGAAACTACTACCTTAGAAAATACTAAACGTAATATTCCCCAATGTGCCATGAGTGGATGATGCATGCTGGCTTTAGGATTTGCACTATGTTCCCTGCTATGCAGTGTGGTGGATAATTCAAAACAAGCTAGAAATCTACATGTCGTGTTTCATGATGTGCAGATAATGGTAAAATAACATGGACTGTCTAGCCTTTCATTTAAATATAAATTAAAAAGTTGCATAGAATCCCTTTTAAAAGAGCACGGAAGTTTGCAGAGGCTGGGGGTAGTTGTTTGGTTTGTTTGTTTTAGTCTTTGTTTTAGCTTTAAAAACTCTGACTTATAATCACTGTAATCAAGGAAGTCCTGAAATTTTACTGGTTCACAATTTGTGTTGAATGATCTTTAAGACAATCAATGCGTAAGACATCACAAAACCTGAAATATTGGGGGGGGATGGGGGAGGTGTCTGTATGTAAATATAAATATGCACACTGATATTTCCAGATAAGCCATGTAACATTCTCTGGTTTTATATTTTCATCAAGGAATGTGAAAGTTGAAAATACTTGAAGAGATTTTAAATACTTCCAAACATTAGCTGCAGTTTCAAACAAATGAGGGCCTGACATAGCTAAGCATTTGAACACACATTTAACTGTAAATACACAGATGAGTAGAGTGCTTCTAAAGTCAAAGGTTAATTTAACATGAGGGTGGAAAAATATTGTGAACTTTAAAGCTCATTTCTGGTTGTATTCTCAGCTCAGAGGGCTATTCTTAAAGTACTCTGTGCCCCACTGAATATCTTTTCAAAAAGGAACAGAAGTAAGATATTTTAATATATCCTAACTGAGATATTTTGCATTACTTAAGACTGTATCAGTTTGGAAAAAAAAAAGAATCCTTTCTTAATATAAGCTTTTATTAAACTGTGAGAGCAGATCCTTGGTGTTCACCTACTACTGGAGGAGAATTTCATCCATTTAAAGAAAAGGGCAGCATAGAAAACTACGCTCAAATAGTTTGCTATCTTTGAACCAAACAGATAATATAGTGGAAGACAAACAGTCTCATGTAGAATAAGAGGCTGGAATATTGTAGATTCTTTTTTTCCTGGCTACTACAGTCCTCCTGATAGGTGTTGGCTAAATCTGCTAATATTTCTTTTTCTGAGTCTATTATCTATGTGAAAAGAGTATATGAAATGCTGGACAGAGAAATTCATTAATGTGGTCCACTTAATAAATGGCACACAACAGTAAATAGTATATCATAAACACAGCATTTTTTCTCAAATAAAATTGAAAAAATAGTCTCATGTACCTGTGAGACCAGTTGATTTTCATTTCTTCATTGTAGTACTTCAAGAAACACTGGAGCGTTATTCCTTCCTCAGTGCAAAGGATCTTCAGTGGAGAGGCTGACTTACCTGTGTAAAATAGGATATATGCAGATCAAATAGGATAGTGGAATGAACAGGAGAAAGTCAAATGGACTACTTGTACTGCCAGGACAAAAAAAAAGTCAAAATCCGTGCCATTATTCTCACCTACCACAAAGAGACAATTGTTCATGCCTCTCAAAGGAGATCTGCTGGTTTGTATCATGTGAGAGTTCAGTATATGTTTATGGTTTTATTGTTATATATGAGCATTAGGACTAGCAAGATCTGTTGTGAAATAAGCTAGTCATGTGATTGCCATGAAAGTGTAATGTCATGATTCTAACTGCACAAAAATTTTCTTCTTGTGCAACCCCTGTTCTTTCAGTGGAATGACACCCAGCTTCTCACTGGAAGCAGGATCAGCATCTCATTCTGTCTGTATCAAGGTTCACTTATTTATGGGAAGAAAATTACGGCTACAGCATTGTCACAGTATCTAAACCAAACAATCCAGGTGGAATAATATTTTGTTCTCTTTTAATAGTGTCAATTAGCAAGGTCAACTGCCAGTTCAGAAACTTAATAACACGTCCATAATAATATAAGTATCATGACTTTCAGAGATTTCCCACTTATAATTAAAATTGTCTGCCTCAGGCTAAGATGACTTTAACATAAAAAACCTACAAGAAAATCCAAGACAGCATTTACTTACCACTGACTTCGCTCAATGCCAGAATTATATCATCATACACTGGAGGAAAAAAAAAAAGGAAAGAATATGCACCATCAAAATTAAATCAGAATACAGCTTTGTTATGTTCAATTTAATTACAGCAATAAGGGAAATTTTCACATCCTTAGGTAAAGAAAATCATTAAAATTGCAACAGGTGCATAGGACAAATTAGAGACTATCTGCGTACAGCATACAAATTCTGTGCTATGTCACTCAGTATCTCCATTGTGTGTGGAGTGAGCTGACTGCTGTCAAATCTTTCTCTTTGTACCCTTCAGGTCAGAAACAATAAAAGGTCATTAAAAATGGATAGTTTGCATTTAAAGGAGAGCAGAGGGGAAAGAGAAATTATCACATTTTAGGTGAAAATAGTTTTCACCTGCTTCCTGTAAGACAGCATTTGACAAATGTAAACCCCTTCAATAGCAAGTGAAAGAAACCAGGTATCATATCAAGCTTTTGCAATATCACAGAGCTGATGGGTTTGCAGGAGGGAAGAACCCTGGAAACAGGGGCAGCAAACCAAGAGAACTCTTTTATAGCAGAACAATCCTGTTCAATGTCACTGTGTAATATGGAAAGAGAGAAAAAGAAAGAAGTGCCATAATCTGAAGAATGCATACTCAAGGCTGAAGAATTTTTATGAATAGGGGCAACAGTGAAATGCATGAAGTTCAGAAGATGCTACTTGTATATTTGGTCTGTATTGTTCCCTATCTACACCTTATTTATCTTTGCTAAAATAAATAGTGATTTAATTCCGTAACCCTCTGCAAACTCCAGTATGCTTCTACTGGCATATTATCATGAGGACATGAATTGCATACTATATATACATGACATTATAGATGTCTGAGAAAATGGGGTTATATTACTTATGCTGTCTAAATTGTATTTTTTTCTGAAAGAATAATGGGCAGAATTTATATGGAGGAGAAACACCTGAAAGATTATCAAGTGATGATACAGCCTTCTGAGGTAAAGACCGAGTTCTTAAGCTGTAAAAACACAGGTTAAGAACTCAGTCTGACATTCATCTTTTCGTCTTATTTCAGGTATTTCCCCAACCTCCTAAAAAAAAGTTAAGACCTTTGGTAAACTGAGTTAATATTTAAACATGCCTTTCTCCCTCTATTAGGACCCAGTAAAAAATACTCATTATTTAGGTCAAATGTCTACATGCAGGTGGGATGTAACAAAGTTTGCTGAATAAAAATCATTTATGCTGGCTACAGATCAGTCTTTATTATAGGCTCAGAAGTGAAGTAACATTTTGTTTTCACTGAACAAATTTTGATAGGCATAGAATTACAGTAGATCGCTATGATATGTGGTAACATATCATTGGTACATTTTAGACTAGATTATCTTACCCTTATTTGCGTTTATCTTCTTTTGAATGCCAATATATACTGAGCTTGAACTAACCCACTCCATAAAATATGCAGTCTTCCAAAGCCCTGTTCTGTTAAACTTCTCTGCTTATCTTTTACATATCAAGGCTAATTCCACCATTTAGGAGGCCCACTGTTTGATTTAGCACCACAGTTCTTGTGGTTTTGATGGCTGACATTTTCAAAGCCTCCTGGGCCTACAGAATTAGACACTGAATTCTCTAAACAGGCATTTCACTGTACATTTCCAGCACAGCACATTCTTCCCACAGTTGAAGTATAGACTATGGAAGCTGGAAAGACTACTGACCACAGGATGGAGAACTACTGCGCTATTTGTTTATTCCGGTGGTCAGGATACCCTTTACTTGAAAATCCATAGACTTTCAAGGAATGATATCTGTATATATCAAAGGACAGGAAAGGAAGAGGTGGTTAATGAGGATGTCTTGGGTGAGACCTGAGCATGGCATAAATGGTATGGAATAAGGGGTTGGAGATGGTACTGTTTTTGGCTGGGATTGAGTTAATTTTTTTCATAGCAGCTTGTATGGTGATGTGTTTTGGATTTGTGGCTAAAACAGTACGGATAACACAGAGACCTTTATGTTATTGCTGAGCAGTGCTTATACACAGTCAAGGCCTTTTCTGCTCTCACCCACCCACCAGTGAGTAGGCTTGGGGGCGCACAAGGATTTGGGAGGGGAGACAGCCAGGACAGCTGACCCCAGCTGACCCCAAGGGATATCCCAGACCATATGACATCATGCTCAGCAATAAAAGCTGGGGGAAGGAGGAAGAAAGGGGGACGTTCGGAGTCATAGTGTTTTGTCTTCCCAGGTAACTGTTATGCATGATGGAGCCTTGCCTTCCTGGAAATGGCTGAACAGCCACCTGCTGATGGGAAACGGTGAATGAATTCCTTGGTTTGCTCTGCTTGTGTGCACGGTTTTTGCTTTCCCCATTAAAATGTCTTTATCTCAACCCATGAGTCTTCCTCTTCCAGTCCTCTCCCATATCCCACCAAGGAGGTAGAGGGGAGAAGGGTAAGATGGGGGGGAGGAGAGTGAGCAAGCAGTTGTGTAGGGCTGAGCTGCTGTGGAGTTAACTCACAAAACAGCTCTAGGATTTTGCAATCAAAACAACTCTCAGTCCCCACTGACAGTCCCATATCAACATTGAGCACTTTGGTGCTTTAGAGATTCTTGTAGACATTAATTAAAGATTAAAAAATCTGAGAGAAAGGGAGCTCACTAGAAAATATCTCACATAAAAGGGGACATCTGTTTGATTAGAAACTTACTTCATTTCTTGTTTGTTAGAGTGCTAGAGATTAATCATTGCAGTGCCCAGTGTCTCTTTTTCTAAACTGGTAATAATGCAGTTCAGGCCTCTATGGTGTATGAAAAGAACTGAAACTCAAAGCATCCCAAAAATATTTGCTAACTTGCTTTTTGCAAGGATAAACCTTTGGCACCTCTTGGAAACATGTGATCATTATTGCAATATAGTAAACTGAATGTTACCTTTTCCTGATAATTCAAGAGTAGATACATCATGACCTCTATCATCTGATAGTGTTGCCTTATAAACTCCTTCATCTTTGCGAGACAGCTACAAGGAAAATACAAGATGTTTACTGACAAACTTGATAATAGTACAACATTTGCTCAACCCCTGCACAATTTTTCTAAACCAAAAAAAATACATTGTACTGCATTCTGGCGAAGTAATCTTACCAGAGATTAGACAGAATCTATGAATGGCTTGGACATGTTTCTTTATGGACCTGTTTTTAGTTTTTAAGCCTAAAACATATTCTGATTTCAGTTCAATTGCCTTGAGAAACTGTGTTTTTTCTCTTGTTCCAGAAGGACAAACAGGATTGATCCTGATCCGTAGAAACTACAAGTAGTATAGTAAGACATAACAAAGGGTAACTTCAACCCACACAAACTTTAGAAATGTAATTTTTCTTTAACAAAAACTATTACTTTTTTCAATTGATGTAAAGCATAATAGATTTATACTCTTTAACTGTCCAGATATCATCCCAGTAGCTTTCATTCAAGCAGCAACTGTAGTCAAATTATATCTATGTTAAGTAAATAATGAATTCATTACCCTTGGAGAGCTCATATTCTAAAATCTAACACCATGATACTGTGTTAAAGGCAGTAGGAGGTTTTGGTTTAGGTGTTTTTATCTTAATTTGTTTTAAAACCTGAAGGAAAATATATAACTATATATTACATATATTTTGGAGGTTATGTCATTGAGTTTTAGACTTATATAAATCTATAAGCGAGTAAATCATAGTAGAAGCATCATATAATAGAATGACAAGTAACAAGAGTAATTCAAAAAAAGCGGAAACCTCCTTCCGCCAAAAAGGACTGCTCAAGAAAAGTGAAGCCACTGGAAAGTCAGTGCTCAGTTGCAAGTGATATGAAGGAAGGAAATTAGAAGAATAAGACACCAAGAAATAAAATAAATATATCCATTAAATGGAATGCACATTAAGCAGAAAATTTCAGTCCAGGGACATTTCAGACTTTGAAGGCAACGGTTATGCAAGTTAAGGCTTCAGACACCTAACAAGTTAGGTTATCCTGTTTGCATAAAGATAAATCTTAAATAGCCATATACCTTAAACCTATTCATTTAGGGCAATAAAACTGAAACACTGTCAGAAATAAGGTACTTTAACAAATTGAAAAATTAATGAGCAATAAGAAAGAATGAGATAGAGTTCACCTAAGGACACTGAAGCAACTTAAGCATGAACTATCTGAGCTAATAACGAAAATAGATACTTTTACTAGCATTAGTTACTTAGCAGATAATTGAAGGATAGCAAATATGCCTTTTCTTAAAATAGTTCACAGAAATCATGATAGCTGGTTTAGTGCTCTGCCTGGCAAATCTATAGCATGTCAAGCAGCAACTATCAATTCTAACAATAGGTGATACTGTACCCTCTGAATACTGAGGTGACATTCTTCCTTCTGCAGATCAGGCACCTCATCAACATCAATTCCAGAACCGTCCTTATACCACTTGAAAACAGTCTCCTTCTTCGTGTTTGCAACCTGGGCAACAGAAAAGGCACATAAGGCTGACTATGTACTAAAGAAAGGTATCACGCTGCATATAGTCACACAGGTACTTTCAACAGAAGCCAGGGGTTTGTTTAACACATGTCAAACAAATCTAAATAAAAATACAATTTCACCAGAGCCCTACTAAGCAAATCATAGTCCTACGTTATTTATTTGCAGCATAGAACTGGTCAGAAGTGTACAGCTCACAGCTCCACAGCCCTGTTAAATCCTTAAAGGCAATCATAGAATCATAGAATGGTTAGGGTTGGAAAGGACCTTGAGAACTTCTAGTTCCAACCCTCCAGCCATGGGCAGGGATGCCTCACATTAGACCATGTCAGTCAAGGCTCTGCCCAGCCTGGCCTTAAACACTGCCAGGGATGGAGCATTTACTTCTTTAGACAACCCATTCCAGTGCCTCATTACCCTCACAGTAAAGAGCTTCTTCGTTATATCTGAACTTACCCTGTTTAAGTTTAAACCCATTACCCCTTGTCCTATCAATCCTGTCAATCTCTTCTCCTAAAGGTTTTTGCACTCTTTCTATGTGGTTGTAACTTGTCTAGAGGTATCTGTGAGAAGTATCTTTGAAATTAGAGTTCCTAAACTTTCTCCTTTACCTTTTTCTGGTTGCACGTCTCTAGAGAGCTGTATGCAGAATTTAACCCACCCGCCCTTATAGAGTCTTCAGCCAATTTGCAGATTTATCCCAGCTATCTAAACAATGTCTTTGAGGGATAAACTGCAGAAAGTGTCTGGAATTACTATTTGGAAAGCATTTCAGACTTCAAAATTGCGAGCTGCACCAGAAATCCTCTTTTTCTACTGCATTCTATCTTATGGAAAGTACAAACACTTTAGGAATCCTACAAACTACAGTCTCTCCCAACACAAAGGGGCTTAACAATGCAATGCAAATGCAGAGAAGTTGCTTGAAAGCCAGGATTTTGCTGTAGTAGCAGCAGCTCATCTAAGCAATGCATAAATAGACCACAACTATACCTTAAGTACTGCTCTAATTTTGAAATACAAATTGTTTATCGGTGGCACTTAAATATAGCTGCATGAATGACCTCAAACTGTGAATTCAAAGAAACTAAAAGCCCAGTTCTTTCTGGAAACCTTGGCAATATATTTTATTTTTCTCCCTTTCTGAAACACGATGGTTTATTTGACATCCCTATTTCCATGCCCTTCAAAAATCACAAAAATCTGATGGCATTTCCATCTGTGGCCTGAATTCTCAGTCAGAGTGTCTTCTGTAGAAGGACAAAGCTGGCAGTACATTTCTCAGACCCCAGGCAGTTGCTTTAAAAAGTCTCCTTAAAAAAGAACTGAACAAATGTATAGAGGGCAGCCCAGAAGTTAATACGGATCTTAAATAGTTTCCAAGTGGCTTGCTTGGAGGAAAAAGCATGCACTAATTTCTAATCCTTTCACATTAGAGAAGTCTTTCCATAGATGAACAGCTCTATGAAAGCTCTCTATGGAGGTGACTAGACAAATAGGAGGGCCTCCTATACTGTTTCCTGGACATCTCTACAAATCCTGCTTAAATTAATCACAGATATTGCTGCTTAATAACCAGTGTGGTTGCTATGGATCTCTGACAGAGTACTTGGGATCACAACCTGGCCCAAAGCAATGCCTTGGTTGAGAAAAGTTAGCAGCATTTTACATTTACCAGTAACTAAAAGTGACTGCTCCTATAGTCATACGACATGGGTGGCAATTTTATTTGAGCAAAGCCTGAAGGAACAAGCCTTTAATGCTTTTCAAAAATTTTTCATCAAAGACTGTTAGCACTCAATCTGACAATAAACAGACTGAGTTTCAGGCACATGCAATTTGCAGTGCCAAAGTTATTTCATGTTGACACTTGCGATGAAACGTCCCTTTTTCACTGTTCAGGCACACATCAAAAATCTTGCTTTTAACAGACAGTACAAATAACGGTCAAAGTTACACAAGAGCAGGTAGCTTCTGAACGTTATGCAATTTAGAAGTACTTAAGGAAAAATTATAATAGATGCTGCCATATGAAGAGAAATAAACACACAATAAAAAGTAACCACCATCAAATTATCATTCAAATGGACAAACATGTTCTACTAGCATGCAGGGGCTACAATACCGAAAACAAGATTATCAGTCCCAGCTGTATCAGAATCAAATACTAAGTCAATCAAAAGTCCACCAGGTTCAATCACATAGAAAATAAGCAGTACATGAAGTAATGTATATTACTTTTGATGTGCTCTTTGGTCATTATTATTGTTAGTGGACCTGGATCATGCAGTCAGCCCTCTGCCCCACACAAGCTTCCAGTTGCCCTGGTTTCCTAACTCCCCTATTTCATGCCATGGCCTTTGAGAAAGACAAGGTGAAAATTCCTCTTTTGTAGGTACTTCCTTCACATTAATCCAGGCTCTTTCAAGAGGTAGAAACAGCTCTGGTGCACAGGACCACTAACCAGAGCCTAGAAGAGACCAGGACCAAGTGCTGTGATATGGCCAGGGCAGGTATATGTTTTTATTACGATAGGAATAGCCCAGGGCAGACACACTTCTAACTTGAATGTCAGGTATTTGAAGTTCGTAGGACAAATGCAGGCTTTATTGTTCAAACTCTTCCTATGTGCAAATATCAGCCACAAACAAGCATAACAACAGTAGCATAGGAACCTAATAGCCAGTCACATACCAACAGTAACAAACATTATAAGGTCAATGGCACAGTTAAAATGATGAGTGTGCAAACAGCCCACATCCTAGATTTCATTTACATAAAATGTTCTGACCTTATGAACAAAAATTACACTGGTGAAAAGCATATAATCAGACACTCAGCCTCCCATAGCTTCAATCATAGAAACAGGCTTGACAGTCAATGAAATGAAGGACAATTTCAGACGAATTTGTAGAAAATTAACACTAGTATAACTGATTCAGGAACATTTAATTCCCCATGTGAATGAAAGGATAAGCAGGGTTCATGCCTGAAGCAAATCACGTCAAGGCTATAAAGTACTGCAACTATACGGCCTCGTACCAGCAAAGGTACCATGTTAACTAATGAGTGCTGAGCCCTAAAATGGTGGCAGGCAGAATGGCTGCTTCACCACCCAGGTCAGTTCTGCAGGGAATAAGCTGAAGTTAAAGGTCTCCTAATTAGTGAGCAGGAAAAAAAAGAAGAAAAAAAGCCCACAAATGTGCATGCAAATTGCTCATAATGAATGACTCAAGTTAGTCTAATTAAAAGCCAAAAACTTATTCAAAAGAAGTGGAGAAAACACAAAAGAGTCCATATTACAGGAAAAGGCAATGAAGAAGATTTTGATGCATGTTGAATTCAACTAACTCAGTTACTCAGGCCTCTAATTAGTCACTCTAGAAGAGCAACAAAAATGACAATATATCAGTTTATAATGGTATATAAAGATGTTAATAACAGAAGTTACTCTGAATTCCATACACATTAGTTAAGATTCAAAAGTCATTAGTCATATGTAATAAAAGTCATATTTTATAACTTTAAATCCAGAAGCCTTTGTTGTATGTTTGGTTACAGCTGATTAAATGAGAAATGTTTTGGGAGAGAAACCTCCAAATAAGAAAATGGTGAGGAAAGAGTTTGAAACTTAGCTTTTTGTGGCAATTTTTTGAGGAAGGAAGAAGGACCATTAGAGGATGATTCTTTTTTTTTTTATTATTATTATTTTTATATCTCACAATTATTACAAATAATTAGATCACCTAACACATTTAGAAATGTCCTGGGGTTTTTTGTTGTTTTAATGAATACTACTGCTGAAAAGTAGTAATTGAAGTGATTTTAAATATTTCTAAATAATACAAAAGTTTTACTATGAAACTTTTAATTTTAAATATCAAAAACTTTCCTCACATTTTCCTACCTTAATTTTTAATCAACACATTCTAAAAAAAAAATTTCAAGCATTTTTCTCACCTTACAAGCGAATAAAACTTCACATTCCTCTGTAACTTTCCAATACAAAAACTCTGAGAAGTGAGGACCTAAGAAACGAAATTATCTTTAACATATGGTAGAATAAAGAGTATCAGAAAGATCCAGTGAAAGAAATAAAAAGGATGACAGTTGTAACATTCTGACACCAGAATGATGAGGTGGAACTCCTGAACTACCTGTGGACTGGAAGGAAAATCCTGCAGGAAGTTCTTACCATATTGACCCAGGTGTCTACAGTACAGCTTAGAAACCTGCGGTTTGTCTCTGTGCGGTAAGTGATACAGTATTCCAAAATGTAAAACAGTGAGACAAATGAGTTTTCTAAATATGTTTATGCCCAATTGAAACTAAGCATAGGAAAGAAACTAAGTAGCTACAAACAAGTGTACAAATGATGCCTTCAGTGAAAAAGGAACTGGAGAATAAACAAATTTATCCAAATGCCTAATAAAATGTTCAAAGCATGACAGACATTATTTTACCAAATTCTGTAAAGTTAAAAAATGTATTTAACATTACAAACAGAACATGAAATATTCCTTTTACACACTAAGGCTCCAATCCTGTGAATATACATAAACTCAAGTAAATTAACTGACATTCACAGCCTTCTAAAAGTTATTGTAGTTACTCGTGTCAGTTTATGTTTTAAATTGCAATATCCAGATCTGAGAGGTAATGAAGTCCCAGACTTTCCCTTAAATCACTAAGAACTGAAAGATCCTGTGAGTTTATACAGTAAGTGGCATAATTTTTTTCTTTAATCTATCACCTTCACACACACCCAAAAAAAAAAAAAAAGAAAAAGAAAATAATTGAATTACATTGCTTACGTAGAGAATCTTACCTAAGCTATTTATAATAAATGCTTTTAATTACTATTGTTACTTTCATCCTAAAAGCTATCTGCTTGCCAAGTGAAAATTACAATCTAGAGCTCAAACTTAATTTTTTATGGATTTCACAGTGATAGAATTCTGATTTAGGTATCCAGTAGTACTTTCATCTGCAAACAATATGATAACAAGTATATAGCAAACTCTGTAACTGTGTAGCAACTATCCAGCAAATATACATGTAATTCCTGGAATTCTGCTTAGACGGAAACCAAAGGATCAAGTTTTTAATCTTCGCTGTCTAACATTGTGCTGTCTATTCTTCCATCAATTATATTGAAGTGACAATTTATATGCTTAAAACTAAATGTGTTGAAATGTTCTGTTGGATCAGAGTCTGCAGTAGGCACACTTCTCATAAATGCTGAGTAAAAACAACATCTTGTAAGTACTCCCACTATATATACTTAGTGAAAGTTCCATCACAATTTGAATGCATCATATGACAATGTTAGAAAACAAGATCCAACAAGGCTTGAAAGTGTTCTCACACTGTGCAATATTCTCATCTTCTAATGAAATCAGTGGAAGCTGGAAGCATTTAGTATTCACCAGGTACTTAGTACTCATCATTAGCTGCAAACTGGGCCTAAAGTCACCTTTCTACTCTGTCTTACCTTGCTTCCTGAGAAATTCCTTTTGCTGGAGCTGAGACTCAGCCAATACTGCCTTGAATGCTAAATTTGAGAAGTGAATGAAAAATTAGTTAGTCACAAAATTACTCAAAGAATAATTGAAGTTCGTTTCTTCATCAAAATTAGAGTTTCTGTGTTTCAGTGAACATACCATCTCCAATGAGAACTAATGAAGACTGGTTCTTGGCCTTTCCATCTTGAATCTGCACTGTGTAGGTACCTTCATTGTCAATTGTAAATTGGTCCATCACCATTTCTATAATGCCATTTGAACGGTCACAATTTATTTTATGCCTCTGAAATAAACAAGTAATAACTTTAATATAATGCAAATTACCTATTATTCATTATTGAATTAATCATGTTTTACACCCCTGCCTCTACACTCAACCTTTTTCATGTCCTTTTAAATTGTAAGCTATTGAAACAGGACTGTGCTTATGTATCTGTTGTACAACAAGATCCCACTGGTGACAGAAACCTCTGGCCTCAATTGAATCCTCAACTGAATCCTCAAGTCATGATAATACCACTGGTTTGGATTTTAAACTAATAGTTTATGGCACTATGTGTGTTTGAAGGAAAGCTTTCATATCCAAGCTTTCATATCCAAGCTTTAGCTGCATTACAGCTTCCAGTTCAACAAGGGGTTTTATTAGGCTAAAGCACTATTCCTAGCAGAGTCCAGAAATATTTGGAAGTATTATATTCACAGATACGAATGTTGACCTCCAAATAAGTCCATCACAACAAATCCAAAAAGCCATCACTACTAAATGTCTCTGAGACATATGTGGCAGCTCAATATGAGATGTTTTTTTCTCACTAAAAAGTTTATTTAGGAAGGGTATAATGATTTGCTCATCTAATGCAGATTATTCTTTGCAAAGAATGCTAAAGTGCAAGACCATGAGAACAGTAACTTGTGAAAAACCAACAAAGTTTCTGGGAATGAAAGAGATCAACCAAGTCCAGCAAAAGAGAATTAGAATTCTATCAAAACATAGAGTTACCTATTAAAGTGCTTGCAGAATACCCAAAACATCAAATATTGACTTAAATTCAAATTTAAATATGCTTTTCATTGTTTGTGTCCTTTTTTGTGTTTGCTTTCTATTAAATATTCCAGAAAGATAAAATATTGGCAGGCATACTCAAGGAAACAGAAAATTGCAAGCAAATATTGGACAGTACTTGCAAAACACGTGTTTTGAATTTGCAGGTATTTTAGATACAATCACCTTTTACTAATAACCTCTTTCCTTTGGTGAGTAACAACCATGAGGACTGTGTCCCACTAACAGTAATGTTTGAACATCAACTAAAAAAATTCCTAAAGCAAAGTAAAAATAATTCACAGAAGTTACTTGATGAATACTTTCAGGTAAGCATTGTAACCAATGTAACACTAGCTGTTCCACTGATGATGGGACCGACTAGAAGGAGTTCTATGCAGTAAATTATAGAACCTGTCACTGTTAAGAGGAAACATGATGCCTTATAAACAGAATGTTTTGGTTAACCTTGTTATTGGACTCCAAACCTAGAAAAAGCTACTTGAAGCCACAGGTAGATAAAGTTTAGGAAAGGGGGTGGTGAGAGGGAAGGAAGGAAAAAAACAAAAAGCTAGTAAAAAAACCCCACTTATTAAACTTTCTGGAACCACATCCCTAAGTGGGAGAACCTTTAAGTACTAATTCAAAATTAGTAGGAATATGCCCACAGTTATATCTGCTTCAGCTTTGAGGGACACTTCCTGGACAGTCTCCAGAACAGATTCACTCTGGACAACAAGCCTGAAAGAATAGTGTAGACATAGTCAAGATGTTCAGCATTCATTAGTGGTGCTTTCAAATATAAAAATAGTACTAGTTTAAATCTTAATGGGGTAACTGAAGAATGAAGCAAGATGGAAGATAATGGAATTAACAAAACAGTAGCCAACAGATTGATCAGGATTATAATATTTTAAGTAAATTATTTAGAGGGAAGAGACTGAGGTATAACATTTCTATGATTCTATGATTTGTATAAAATAGCAGGGGAAAATACTCATATAATTTAGATATACACTTTCCCATATGTATTTCAAAGAAAGGTAATGTCAAATAATAAGAAAAGATTTAATAAATCAGGAAATCAGCAGAAAAATTACTTTTGTAAGAGTTCATCTGTAAGAGTTGAGGAGATAGGCAAGGTAGGTTAAAAAGAGAAGTTATAGACTTCACAAAACTATCCAAAAGTGGAAATTAAAATTCTTGCTTACAGAATCTTGTCCACAGAGGTCAAGGACAACACTTGCATTAATTTCATGAGTTCTCAGGGAGAATGTTAAATTGAGATTTGCCAGAAGCAGAAAAAGAAGAGCAAGATGCATGTTTTAATCTCATCCTTTATCACACTTCTAGAACTTTTTTCATTTCTTGCTCTTGGGTAAAGGAAAAAAATATTAAAAGTTTAAAATGACAACTGATTAAATGGGGACCAGTTCATTCCTTTCCCAGATTATTTTGAATCTTACAGAAACCATTCCTTGTTAGGACCTACAAGGAAAAATTTATTACTTCAGCCAATGTCAAGAACCAGGCTACAATTCACTGGCATAACGGTCTGCTGAACATGTTCAGTGACTGTAGCCCAGTCTCCAGGCAGGCTTTAGAGTGTAATTAGGCTTCTAACTATTGCCATTATGCAGCAAGATGAAGTTCAATGATTTTATGGGCACCATAAATACTTGGGTTTTATGAGACTTTCCACAAAAATATCATCAGTTTCCAAACGTAAATGTCACCTGTGGGTTACTAATTAAAGAGGTGAAATAATGCAGCTCCACTTCAAGACTCTCTCTGATGTCAACGCTTCCAAAACATATGTGAACTAAAAATAGCTCGTTCTGTTCCACTAACATTACTAAGACAGAATATTGTCATTTCAATAAATCATAATATTCAATGCTATAGTTTATTACTTCTTAAAGTAAGAAAAACAAAAAAGTATTTTACTCAGAAACACTTCTTTTTCCATATGTCAATATATAATTATAGTAAATGTTCTTTGCTTTTGTATGGTATAAAAATGCTGATAAGCTTCTCTGGCCAAAACCAGGCTTTGCATCCTCGGGAATAAACTGAACCTGTCAAACAGCTGCACCGGAGATGGTTTCCTCACAGGAAAAGATATTTCCAGTGCTTTATGCCCAGTAGATTAATCATACTCCAGCCCTGCAAAGGCATGACCTTGCTTTCCTCTCAGCCCAATCTGACTACATTTTTGTTTCCTTTTCTATGAAAAGTCTTCCTAGAGCTATAAAAATGCAGGAAGCTGGTGGCCTGCCCTTTCATCTCCATTGTAGCCATTTGATGCACATTTAATGTCCAGGACAAAATTAAAGAAAAAAAAAAATCCAAAAGAAAGTGACACCATCTAAAAACTTTATATTTACAGACACTGTTGCATTTCCAAGTGCCTCCCACTTTCTGTGTAAAACTAGTAGCAGTAGCCTCAGAGAGTCTCTGGGAATAGCATGCATTGGCAGTTTGGAGTTCAAAACTTGAAGCAGCTGTTTTGGTTTGAGTTGTCTTCATAAAACATCTGTGCACTACTTTTAATGAGGTGTGTTTAATACTGGTCTGTGTCTCATTTCTTCTCTTTGGCTGTTGGTCATCTACCTACCCAAAATGAATACAGCATTCTGAATGTCAAACTTTGCCTTTTTTTTTTTTTTAATTTGTATTAACAGTCTCACTCTGCAACAGGAAACTAATACTGCAAAAAAGATTCAAGTTAAAGAATGGCATTCCTTTCAGGTGTTATCAGACCTTAAGAAGCTATAGGATCCAGGGAACTAACTACAGGGCTGTCAGTCTGACCTTGGTGCCAGAAAAGGCTATGGAGCAGATCATCTTGAGCACTGTTACATGGCACAACCAGGTGCACAGGATAACCAGGTGATCAGGCCCAGTCAGCATGGCTTTATGAACAGCAGGTCCTGCTTGACTAACCTGATCTCCTTCTATGACAACGTGCCCTACTTAGTGGATGAGGGAGAGGCTGTGGATGTTGTCTACCTAAACTTTAGTAAACCCTTTGACAATGTTTCCCACAGCATTCTCCTGTAGAAACTGGCTGGTCATGGCTTGGGTGGCTGTTCTCTTTGCTAGTTAAAAACTGGCTGGATGGCTGGGCCCAAAGAGTGATGGTGAATGGACTAAAATCCAGCTGGCAGTTGATCACAACTGCTGTTCCTTAGGGCTCAGAATAGGGGCTAGTTTTGTTTGATATCTTTATCAATAATCTGTGGATGAGGGTATTGAGTGCACCCTCAGTAAATTTGTGGACGACACCAAGTTGGGTGGGAGCGTTGATCTGCTTGAGGGTCGGAAGGTTCTCCCAAGGGATCTGCACAGGCTGGATCAATGGACTGAAGCCAAATATATGAGACCCAGGTGCAGGGTCCACTTCCTGAACCCAGGTCACAATAACCCCATGCAACGCTACAGGCTTGGGGAAGAGTGGCTGTAAAGCTGACCAGTGGAAAAGGACTTGATCAACAGCCAGCTGAATCTCAGCTGACAGTGTGCCCTGGTGGCCAAGAAGGCAAATAGCATCCTGGCTTGCATCAGCAATAGCATGGCCAGCAGGACTACAAGAGTAATTGTCCACTTATACTTGGCACTGGTGAGGTCGCACCTCGAATCCTGTGTTTAGTTTTGGGCCCCTCACTACAGGAAAGACATCAAGGTGCTGGAGCATGTCCAAAGAAGGGCAGCAAAGCTGGCAAAGTGTCTAGAACACAAGTCTTATGAGAAGCAGCTGAGGGAACTGTGGTTATTTAACCTGGAGACAAAATAAAACAGCCACAAGTTGTGCCAAGGGAGGTTTAGATTGGATATTAGGAAGAATTTCTTCACTGAAAGGGTTGTCAAGCATTGGAACAGGCTTCCCAGGGCAGCAGTTGAGTCGCCAACCCTGGACGTATTTAAAAGATGTGTAGATGTGGCGCCTGGGGACATGGTTTAGTGGTGGAGTTAGCAGTCCCGGGATAATGCTTGAACTTAATGTTTATAGAATCATAGAATAGTTTGGACTGGAAGGGACCTTCAAAGGTTATATATACCAACACTCCTGCAGATATTAGATGTCTTTATATATCTAAATAATTCTATGGCTCTATGATGAAACCAGAATAACTATTAATGTATAAAGGTTTATTAAACAAAATCACACATATATAGAACTCAGTATGTACTTACATCACTGTTTTCAACTTCTTTATCATTAATAACAAATCTGAAGGTAGAATCTGGTGATAAGCTTTCAGCCTGAATCCAGAAACGAACTTGTCCTTTCTCAAGAACCTCATAAGCTAATTCTGATTTCAGAGGTATTGCTGCAGAAAGAAAAGCAATCAGAAGTCAATAATGCATGAATTCTTGTGAGAAAAAGAACTATTGTAGTAAAATATTAGTATTTCCCTATTACTTACGGAATGCTGGCTTTAGAATAAATTTTATGCATGGAAAATACATCTAAAGCTATCTTTGGCTGATTTTTAAATTAATTTCTCAAAAAAAGAAAACAATTTGCAGCTTAGTTTGCACATTGTTTAAGGAATTGGCTAGCAGCAACTTATAGTCTCTTGACAAAGTTAAACTTGAGAAGACTTTTAGGCAATGATTATTTGATTCAGTGAAAGCTAATAATCGTCTAAATGAATGGAAAGATAAGGAAGCAAGTTGTTCCATGAAAAATGAAGCTGCCATTGTCTCAGGAAGAATCTTTTTGGAACTCCAGCTATTAGTGTGTAATTATAATTCTTCTAGAAGTATCCAGTAGATAGTGATCTTCAACTTACTTGGATTCTTTATCTCATTGCTTAATGCCATCAAACGTTCAAACTCTGAAATTAAGAAAAATACTCATGTTTTAATTTATTCTGAAAAATACAGTCAGAAAACGAATGCCAAAGAAGGTACATGTCAGAATCAGCGTATAATCTCAAGTCTTATATGTGAAATACTCAACTGTCTTCAGAAAACTACGACTAAAAAAAATAATAATAATATTTGAGAAACTTAAAATTCTCATACATAGGTTTAGCTGATTTCATGCATCTTCATGCACACCCTCTTATGAAAAATAATCTAAACAAGGGAAGAAACCTATTTTAAGCTCTCTATGGGATCTGAACAAAAGTTGGGAGACAATAGCTTCCAAATGCATGAGGTTTCTTTATCTACTTACTTCCTTTCTGACACTGTACCTGAAAAGCCTGTTTTACTGTGGCAGGAAACAATATTGAGTGCAGGTTAGTCTGAAAAATGTACAGAAAGTTCTATTAAGCCACTGAATGCTAATGAAAGCTGAGAATCTAGAAATCGCTTCATTAGATTTTCACACTAGACCTATTTATCATATTCATTAGTAATAAAGATTTTTAAAAGATGAACATTACTGACAATTGCAAATTTACAGATAATGAAAAGACCAGAGGAAATTAGCAAGGATTTATGATATGGTCAAGAATTTAGCAAAATTACAAGAAAATTTTTAGCATTTGAGGAAGTAAATAGGCAGAAAAGTAATGGGGTTTGGTGCTAAGACGAAAATATGACACATGCAAGGATCCAGTGCAAATAAAAGTGTAATTTTGAATGACAGATATGACAAGGAAAAACATGGGCTAAGTGTGGGATGAGAAGCACCTTCAGTGCTCTTCTACACAAAAAAAGCTTTGACTGAAAGTGGCAAGACTTACAGACAGGTTTCAGAGTGACACTTCAAAACTAAACCAAAGGGAAGTTCTCATGGTGAAATGTATACCTGTCTTTTCATAGAGTATTCAATGGAAAATAAAAAATGTTATAGTTTAGTTTCGCTAGAAGAAGCAGATATTGGTAATAACCAGGAATGCACATAAATGGTCAATGTCCCAGAGAACCATATTTTTTGTGGCTGCATACAGATTTCTTCTCAACACCTACTATGGATGGGAGGTTCAACATGGTTCACACTGATGAAAGTCCTGTCTGCCATCAGGCTCACACTCAGTCTCATCTGTCTCCTCAAAAGACTTAGAAAGAAGGTAAGTAGAGGAATTTTCATGCTTAAGGAACTGGGCATAGCAATTATAGCCTGTGGACTGGGAAGGCACCAAAGTAATTTTTGTGCTATTTAAAAACAGAAAAGTCCCCTGCTTTGCCTTTCGCCTCAGCACCTCTCAATGGTAAACCAAAGTCAGCCTAAAGCAAAACTCATTGCTACAATGAAATAAAATAAAACTCATTTAAATTTAAGCCAAAGGATCATTTAACCCAATGTATTCAGATGCTAAAGTACTAAAGTAACATCCTTTTTCTAACATTCTTCTCACTAATTCTCTGCAAGTTTTATGAAACTATATCTAGACCCTCAAGGTCTGTCTCTATATTGGGCTCCATGGTAAGCAGAGCTCTGATGGTGACTTTAAAGCTAACAGAGAACTAATTATTATAAAATGTAAAAGGCTGTAAAGTCGAAGCACAGCAAAAACAACAAACTAGAGAAAGAGACTTACAAAACAATTAAAAAAGCAACACTTCCAGACATATAATTGAAAGTGTAACAGACATTTACAAACAGCATTATATCCCAACATAAAGAAAACAATTCTAAGTGGGTGCATTATTTTTTTTTTTAAGAGAATATTGCCTTAAGTTTTCCCTACTTTCATTATTGTGATAATCAGAAAAATAAGTAGTCACTCAGAGCTTGTTGTGCATAGGAAAGAATGTGAGAGCTGTGGAATTCTTTTTCTTTTTTTTCTCAGACAACTTTTAATGCAGTTGAGGTGATAAAATGAAGAAAGACTTGAGCTGATAACAAGCTTACCTTCATCATCCATAACAAAGCTGGATGAAACTCCATCTGTGTCACTAACCGAGATAGAATAAGTTCCCAAGTCTGATTTATCAGGATTTTTGAAGTACAGCTTTGAACTAAAATTACCAATAAAGAAGGATATAATTAGCAAGCTTTCTTATGTCATTGAGATTTTTAACATGACAAAAGTCTAATAATTTGGTAGACAGGCAAGACTTACCAGCTTCCTTCTGTTTCAATCTTAAACTTATCAGTATCATCAATCTCCTCATATGATTTACCCCACACAAAATGAGACGCAGCTGTAGCTTCCTTGCACTCAAAAGCCAGGTAAATATTACCTTCATCATCCACACCTGAAAAGATTTCTTTTGTTCCTGCAAAATAGGAATCAACTCAAATATTAAGTCTGCATTTCTCTTTCAAGCTACAATTCATAAATTAGTAAAGCCCATGCAAATTTTGACCATCTTTGCTAACAGGTACCGATCTTACTTGCAGATCTTGAAGTATGTTTATGTCATATGCTGACTCAGCACTACAGACTGTATGATTCTTTTGCTATATGAGCAGAAAAAAAAAAAAAGGAATCCTAAAGTTTAAAATCTTTAAGTTTTAAGGCTAAGAGCTTCTTAACTCTTGAAATACTTATCTGTGCTACAATATCAAATCAGATTTATTAAAGTCACTTCTAAGTGTTTCAGTATTTCAGAAGCAGAGGAGATAAAACAGTTCATTACCTGGCCGTGCCTCAACAAGCACTGGTTCAGATATCTCAGATGATTTGCCTATCCCAGCATCATTTACTGCACGAACTTTGAAAACATAGCTATGACCCTCTTGTAAATCAGTGACCTTGAACAAGATAAAGAGCAAAGCCAGTTTAAAAAACAATCTAAACTCTTCACATTTATATGAAGATATTAGCTGAAGTCCAAGTTCAAATACACACCCTTGCTGCACTCAATTAAATGTTTTTAGAACTCAGTTTTGAAGTAACACTAACTCATTATAATGTTACCTTAAAATAGCGCTTTGGAGTAGGCTTTTCGTTAGCAGTGACCCAGTCTTCTGTATCTACTTCCTTATAGTCCACTAAATACCCAGCAATAGGACTTTTGCCTTCATATACAGGAGCTTTCCACAGAAGAACCAGGGATGTATTTCTAACTTCACAAATGTTGAGATCGTAGGCAGGACCTAAAACATTTCAAATATAGGAAGTTCACTTCAGTAAAATAAAGTTCTACAAACTGGCCCTGTAGAGGTCAAAATGTACCACTTTAATTTTGTTTTTGTTTTGACCATGTTTGCTTTCCAAAATCTCATCCTTTACAATAAACCTGGTATATGTGGTATTTAGGTCATTTTTCCTCATGGCTGTATACAGCAATACCTGCAGTGAGTGACATTAGTATTCTGAAGCACACATTCTTAGCTATATCTCAGTAATTCCATTTTAAGGTGAAGTTAATCATGCAGAAAATCCATGCAGTTTAAAATTTTCCAACAAGTAATAGAGGTTGCTCATCTATTAAAGAATTTCACCAGCCCATATCAAAGTTGCTACACAGACCCTGACTCATAATTTAGAATCAGGATTTTTATTTTTTGTTGGTACTCCTGAACAATGACCCTTCGGACTAATCTGATACCCACTGGCACCAGTGGACTTTGGATCAGGCTTCTCATTTCCTGACAGAAGAATTTTACATTGTGGTATCGATAACTATAGCCAAGAAGAAATTCTCAAGAGGATATCTTTTAGAAGAACTATTTACACCAGAAACATCCAGATGTCCTGTGAATAAGTGAGAGTTCATAACTTTGCAGATACTGGATTATGTTCTTCGTACTATACTTTCCTTTTCCTTCATTAAACTCTTCCAGTGGCATTCAGTTTAACTTGTGGCTTTTTTTTTTTTTTTTTTTTTGCTGCACTCTTGATATTTATTTATACCTGTAGACTATAAAGGTAGAATTATACCAGTTTTTTACCATGGTGAGAACATCCATGACAGAATACTGATGTTCAGTCCAGTTATGTAGTTGGAAGCTTGCTTCTCGTGCTTTAAATTTAGAGTAAGGAAACCTGAAAGTACCTGAGACTTAGGGATTTTTTCAATGTTGTCAGCTTGGCCTACTTCTTCATACAACAACTCTCACCATTTAAAATAAAGAAGAATAAAAAAACCTTACAAATAAACCTGATTGCCATTCCAGCCTACATGATGTTAACCAGTACTGAATGAACACGAAATTTGTCATGGATGATATTCAGCAAATATCCAGCGAAAAAAGAACAGTAGAAAAGTTTTTCCCCATATTAGACATGCACATTTCAGAAAAGAAACATTGAAGTACCTGTTTCAGACCTTGTAAGGGTAAATACTAGATTTCTGACAGAAAGACTGCAAGTTTCAAGAAGACTAAAGCCTTCTTTCAGGGCTCTTCAAAAATCCTAACATGAATGTCTATATATCCACAGATAATTAAAATTCCACTGGCAGATTCACATGCTAGAAATCTAGACAGTAGAAGAAAATGTGTAATGAAATATGTTCTGTTCTGAGGATTCTGAGACCACAGATGATTAATTTTTTTCAAGTCATGTAAAATATTTCATTAGTTATCATTGTTAACTCACAGAGGCTCACAGAGATGCCTAAGACTAGAGTTCTGCAGAAGGATGAAGTAATTATGGGCTCTAGGCAAGGAATCCATCGCTCATGCTGGAAATCTTGCAAGGGGTTTTGGCCTTTCTAAGGAAACCTCAAAACATCAAAAGGTGGAAGAATATTTTGTTGGCACTGAGAGTTTATTGCAGTCACATTACATTACTCTTCAGTATCTTTAGTAAGTCAGGGAAGAGAGTCAGCCTCTTTCTCCCAGTCTTAAATCTCAATTATTTCTTTTCAGTATTGCTAAGCTAATGTTTGAAAACTTATTCTAAAAAAGGCTTGTGAAAAATTTTAGGAGGTTTGGTAATTTGGAGAGGGATGGATGGTTGGTTTTCTTAAGCAGGAAGAATGCAACACTCTGTTCAACTGAGAACTCATTCAATTGAACTATCTGTTCAATTGAGAACAATGTAATCAGCTAAGAAGTAGAAAGGTCAGATTGTTCATTATGAAAATAGAAATTTCACTCTCTTTATTTTGTGAAAGTGCCTTTTATTTTATTTCTTTATATTATTTAAAACGAAGGATAATCTTCACTTGTTTACACACTAGGCAGTCTCACTGATATTTTGAAAACACTCTAGAGAGTACAAATTGGAGTTCCTTTCTTTAAGGAAAATAATTATTGCACTGATGATACATTTAAACCAAATGTTACAAGATGATAAGAAAACATAGCTAACAAAAAGGGAGTTAAGGTCAAGATATTAAACATTTTCTTATTGATAGCTTTGCCATGTCATTAAATCCAGAAGGTAAGATGTATGAACCTAGAAGAATTTAGCTAGAAAATGTGGACAACAACTCTCTGATGAGCAGTTCTGCAGAAAAGAATCTGGGCATTAAACAGAAGTAAATTTAGAGCTTAGAATAACAGTATTAAAAAGAAAGAAAAAAAGGCAAATAGAAGGGGATTTCTAAGCAGGCAAATAGCTGTGGCATGTGGAGTTATCATTTCTCTGCTCAGCATTGAAAAATCTTTATTTGAAATAGTTTGTGCACTGCCATTCAAGAAAGACATGGGCCAACTAGAAAATGTTCAAATATCAAAAAATTGTTCACTTAGAGATAGGAAATACATGCTTTATGAGAAAGAATGCATGAACTGGATTTTGTCAACTAAAGGGGAAAGCTATGGATCTGAAATTCTTTAAACACAAAGAAAATTTGTTGAAAAGAGGAAAAGTATAATTTCTACATGCCATTGGTGAACAGGACAAGAAGCAAATTGGCTTAAATTGCAGGAAGAAAGATCCAGAAATATTAGAAAAACTTTTTAAACTCTAACCGTATTAAGATTAGGAATAGATCCTCTCCATAGAACCTGGACTTTTTCATGGGTAGAAGTCTTTAAGGATGGATTAGACAAGATGGGTATAGCTGATCCTGCATGTGGACAAGCAGTTGAATTATATGACATTTGACAGTCTTTCCTAGTAAATGATTCCATGAGCTTACTGAGCTGTTGTTCCGGGCAAGAATTACTTTCTACATATAGTATGTAAAAGAAAACTGAATTTTTCCTGCCACCTTATACTAATTACGCCTTTTTGAAATCACTAAAAATTCCAATAGTTTTACAAAACCAGATTTAGGGGTTGGCTTTTTTATATTTTTTTTTCTTTGCTGAGAAAATAACTGCATGAACATTTAGGCGTGAAACAGATGTGTGTAGGTGTCAGACAGCTCTTGATGACATATACAAGTATTATAATGGATCCTTAATTGCATACAAAAACTCAGTGTCATAAATAGAATTTGATTTAACAACACAGCAGTATTTTACAGCATTTTGGGAAAAGAAAGTAGAAAGATATTGAAGTGGTAGGTGCCTGTGTTTTTGTTATGGGCTGCATGGTCACATGCTTTATTTAGGCAAACCAGTACCAGACATCAGAAATTGTTTCAGCAAAAGTGTTGCTCAGTATGAGTGAGGGTGTTGGAGTGTTTTAAAATAAGCAGAATGAGCTTTTCAAAACCCTTTCATAGTTTATTTACAGAACTCAAGCATTACTGAGGGGGACCAGTTCCCTCTATGCCTAACATTCAGGCACAAATTTATAGGCTCATGAGGTAGACTAAAATTTAACTTTCTTTTGCTGAGTGTCCTGAATTCACAATAATTTTTATTTAACATTTTCTATGAAATCAGCATTGCAATTAACAGTTTGTAGCTACATCTACACTGCTAAAGTACACCCAGCCTAAACACAGGTTTGAATACTAGCACATAGTCATTCCTATAGTATGTTTGTTAGCATGTTTTTTGTAACATCTGTCTAATAATAATCTCTCAGGTAGCACCTAGGTACAATCTAGGGGAAATACATGAATAATGGCACACTATTTGAGACTGGAGACTTCAGCTATAAAGTGTGAGCTACACTGTGCTAGTTGCCTCTATGTCAAGAAACAGATCCATGTTGTGTCTGAAACTCCAGGAATATTCTTAATAGATTGCAATTTTCACTGGAACAGGTTGCCCAGAGAAGTTGTAGATGCCTCGTCTCTGAAAACATTCAAGACCAAGTTGGCTGGGTATTTGAGCAGTCTGGTCTAGTGGAAGGCGTCCCTGCCCACATTAGGAGGTTTGGAACTAGGTGTCTTCCAACCCAAACCATTCTATGATACTATGGTGCAGAGACGCCTATATATTTTACAGGTGGTGAGTGTGAAGTGGAGGGCTGGATGTTAAGAGATGATAGAGATAAAAAAATAGACTGAAGACTGAAGACTTTCTACTCAGAGCTGATGTGGGCAGCGAAAGAAAGAAACACTCAGCAAGCTAAGTAAAGGTCACCAACTTCCCTGGACATTCAGTGTCATCAATGGCGATATGGAGGTAGCTTTTAACAGGAGATCTCAGAAGCAATAGCAATCTCAACAGGTAATATGGCAGAAATTAACAGCCAGCAGAGTTTGCCTGGAAAAACACACTTGGAACAATACGCTGACTGTGATTTGAATTTCACGAAGAACTAATAGACTTACCAGGTTCTGGCATAGTCCAGGCTTTACACTTAAAATGCTCACTGGGATCTGAAGGTTGACCTATTCCAACCAAATTTGCAGCAGCAACTTTGAATTCATAGAAAGCATCTTCTGTTAAATCCTCCACCTTTTTTGAGAAAAAAATTCAATATATCAAAATCCATAATTTATATTATTTTAATAAATTAAATACTTAAAAATAAGATTTGGTTAATTAGTTTTCAGGCATTACTGCTGTGCTGGAGTACTGGAAGGATTTAATTTGAAGATTTTACTCTTAAACCAAACACACTGCAGAGAGATACGTTGTAGTTCCATGTTTCAGCCACATCATCCTAGGAATAACAGCACTCAATATATTGGCATGAGAGGCTTTAAAAGGTTAGAGCAAAGGTCCAGGGAGCCCACTCAATGAATGACAACTAGAAGATACTTATGGGTGACTGTTCTAACATGAAATATCTTCTTCATTTCTTATGACTGGCTAGTACTAAGCCATTCACTTAAGCAAGAGTTCAAATGGTGTATTGGTCTAAAGAGGTCCCAATGGACTACCCAAGGAAACTAAAGGAAAAGGCAATCCAATTAGTTCTGCAATGTGCTGATATAAACCTGGGAAAGATTCTCTTGGTATTTTTTTCTGGCTTGTATGCATTTTTCTCTTAATATTACCATTACAAACTGAGGAAATAAGTACTGGAAGTGGGATGCCCGGAATCCATGCTATACCTCCACAAGCATTCCTGGTAAATCAACCCTGACTTATCTAGTGAGTCCATCACATCACCATCTAAGATTTTGAGGTCAAGGTAGACTAGCTATAAGGCATGAGCACCACACAGTAGTAACCTTCTTCCATCCTTCATCTTCCAGATTGTCTAAAAACAATAAACAAGTCTTCTACACCTCAGTCCTCTGCATAAGTTTCCCAACTCATATCTAGTCATATGTCTGAAGAGAAAGAGGCAGCTGAGAGCAGTACATCTAGCGGAGATATAGAACAGTTTTAGATTTTCATGAATAAACTATATTCTCTGGGAAAATGTAAATATGTAAGATAAAAAAGAACTTTGGTATGATTTTTTTAATGGTAACAAACATATGATGGGATTATAACAAACATATGGTAGGGTAGCATCAAATACAAGACCAAAGCAGACAACGTAATCTTGGAAAAGTCAGGCACTAATACAACTTAGATAGATTTTCCTGAAGACATAGAGCTGTAGAGAGTGATTCACAAGAGGGAATAACAGCTCAGCCTGTAAAAACGGTTTTGAAATATCAGGTTATTAAGGGAAAGAATATTTGTTGGGTTCCCATAGACTAATTTAATCAGAGAGGGTTAAACCTTTAGTGATTTCCCAGTGCTCAGCTGTATATCTCAGTGCCTTCTTTGCTTGCAGTATGTCATATTCTGTGCTACTAAAAGCTGTCTTGCTTTTATTTCCCATCAGTATTTCAGATTGCAGTCATTCAAACTAATGTATGAAGATGCACCTTCAGGCACATACACAGTTACTGGCAGGTATGAGAATTAAATATCCAATTAATTAAACTCTGAATGATTTGCCTTAATTTGCATTATTTCATTTACAAATGCATTAAAAAATGAAAAGATCTGGAAAGCATTGATTTGTAGTACCCTTTCATGCCTAGCCTCAATGCCCTTTTTTATTTCTTGATACCCGTGCTCCATCTCGTATGTCAGAGATGACAATTATAAACTCACTCACAAGCATACCTACACCTGACTACTACTGGCTGTGCATGAAACATTCTTCCTGTGCTCATCTGCAGCATTATTTTCTATGTCAGTGTCAAATATCTGCTAAATATTTATTTCTGCCTTGAGGCTTATAAGAAAGTTGCTGACTTGAGGAAATAATCTTAAGAAATATTTTGGAATAAAATTCAATTGCTTAACTTGAAAAGTATCAGATTAATTAATTAGTTGTTATATTCTATATTCCTAACCTTTCCTCATGGAAGTTCACATCAAAATTTTCCTATTTTAAGAAACATTGAATACATTTCAAGCGCAATCAGAAGTAATTTATTTTAAAACTAAAATCATCACCCTGGCACTCTGGAAAGAAGGCAGTAAGATGTATTGCTAGGTTTATTAATATACATTCCTTTCCAGCTGAAAGCAGATTTCGGGAGTAAGAATGGGGACAGTTATATTTCTTCGCAGCCCATCTCCACTTCACTTTACAAGTCTTCAGTTCTACAGACAGTGTGGGCATTTGTTCTGAAAATGCTTCTATCTTTTGCCTGCATGTTATTACAGTGATACATATAATGCTCATTAATGAATATAGTTTGTGAAGCATTTTATAGCTCATCTTGTTCTTTGCGAAGAATGTGCTTCACATCTTTTTCCACAAAAATAGCCTCATCTGAATTGGTCTTAGAATTTCATACCAAAGGCAGGCATTAATTCTCTACCCCAGTTTATAGGCTTGTTGCACTCCAAAATACACAATGAAGGGCCTGGTTTTACTGTGTTAAGTATTTAAAAAACTTCTCTGTAAGAAAGTGAAACTCTGCCAAAAGCAAAGAAGTAATACAAATTGGCTCCAGAAATGTAAGTATCAAAAAGTACCAACCGTGTAAATTGTCTGGGTAATAAGGGAAGAATTGACTTCATGCCAGTTTTGATGATTAGCTTCCCGTTTATCCATATAATAACCAAGGATTGGTGAACCTCCACTGTACCTTGGTGCTTTCCAGCCAAGGGTCATTGAATGACCATCACAGTTCAGAAGTGTGATACCATGAGGGTATGATGGACAAGCTATAAAGAAATAAGCAACCTGAGAGTTAGGACAGAGTCTAAAACACTGCACTGTATAAGTTGTTTAGCATTTTTTATATTCATTTTGTTTTCTGCACCGTATTGCTGTCAGTTGCATATTGGTAACAAAGAAGTTGTAAAGCTGCTAATCAACATTAATTTTATTTCCAAACATAAATGTGGAAGCTTTTGAAATATCTGCCTAATGTCCTGCCCTCTCAGGAGATAGCAAGAAGGAATATATAATCTTTGGTACAGAAATGGTAATGTCAGTGAAAATGTCTTCAGACCAGATATTATACTAGAAGATTGAAAGGGATCAGAAGATCCTTTCCTGCTAAGAAACCAATAAGCTATGCAAATACTTCTGGAATACAGTAAGAATGACCCAATAATTTAAAAAGAAACCAAGCTGGCTATGAAGTTATATGACTGTCTTATCTATGGCCTTCGTGGTTTTCCCCTCCTTTCCCCATATTATATGCCTGCTTCAGACTGAGAGTGCTTTCTGCCCTATAATGAGTGGAAAGTATTTAGATGATCACTAGCTTAACCTATGCTGAGGCAAAAAAGACATTTCCTCATGAGTCCACCTAGATGAGTTTACTCCCATCCGTAGCAGAAGCAGAAATATCACCCAGGCATCTTCCTAGAGGTGTAAAAACTTGTTTTCTTTAGCTTTTTACACTCCTACTACTAGCAAACACCCTTTCTACCAACCAGTTTTTTGTATTTGCCATCCATGCATGAAAGTTTGCTCGAAGATACCCCTTTTTTAACACTATAGTACTGCAATCAGTACAGCTAAGCTCCTGCCCCTAAAGCTCATTGGGTATTTTCAGTTGAATTACCAGTATAAATTCAGAGAACGTGACTTATCTCATTCAGAATAGAATACGTTCACAGAGCCCCTTAATGCAACTCCTAATCTTGTAGCTGTACTGGTGATCAGCATGAAAAAAGATAGCAATCAGCAAAACTGCCATTTTGGTTTTTTTTCAAATGTGGTGTTATACTGAAAGGCCATAAAAAATGGCCTTTGCAATTATTACCACTTCTTGGTAAATAAGAATGACCATAGCAAACTCCTATAAGTGCCCTTAAAATAATACTACAGAAGGAGTCTGTCCATGCTAATATAGGTCACCTTTAAATAGCCCTGCAAAAATCCTTTTAAGGTTACTGAAATGAATAAAGGCCATCCACATCCCACAGGTGCATGTAAGATCCATGTGCTCTGTGTTTAGTGATATACACCATGCAACCCTCATTTTCAAAACACACAGTGACAAAATAAACAGCAAAGTGCATTTATGACATAGGGGTGATATATGTGCAAGTGCCCGTGCACCACCTACCCATATGAGACACACTTTGTCCTAAAAAAATCAAATAGAGTAAGATTGTCAATAAAATCTCATCCAAATTCATATTATAATAGTCATTCTGAATTATAAATCTGTTAGAAAATTGTTTCTGACAAGTATGCCTATTGGTCTTCTTCTCCAAGAGGAAGAAGCCATTCAGGTGCGGAAAAGGTGTTCTACTTTAAAATAGTCAATATGAAACTGAAACTATGTAGAAATGAAAAATGGGCCATAGTAGCTCAGATCTGTGTACTTTTTGTTCTAAATAATTATCCAGCCTTTCACTCAGTATGTATCATTCCCACTGAAGGCTGCACAATGGATTTTTCTTACAATGAAATTTTCTTTGCAGGGTACCAGAGGAGGTAGATTGCTCCAACTTGCAGCAACCAAAGGGAATTTTCTGTTTGTTTCAGCCACACAGCAATAAATTTTCCTTAACATTTCTAAATGGAGCAGATTCTGTGCTAAGCCAATCTGCACCACTCCATTTTAGCCAGAAGCTACTTGTCTAACTTAATCAAGATTTAGTTTCTTTGTTACAGCTGAGTAGCAGAAAGCAACCTGGTCATTACAGTGGATCAGATCAAATATTTGTAACAGACATTACGAATAACATTTTGAGGGTTTAGACAATTTTGTTTTTAATAGAACACACACATGCCAGAGCATAAACATCACTAAAAGGATGTGCTCAGTGGCTGCAAAATGTACTGTTACTGCAAATGAGACCAAAGGAGTTCATTGCTGAAAATATGTTACTCATTCTTCCAACCTGAACCGTTCTATGATTCTGATTCAAGAAACAGGAAGCTGAGTTACAGAGACTCATACTTACTAAGAGCTGCCTGTACTGTTATAGCCTCTGACTCCTGTGAATTTTCACTGAATCCTACAGCATTCACAGCTTTCACACGGAAGATGTACTGCTGTCCAGTTTCCAAACCATGAACAACAAACCTGAGTTTTAAAAAAAAGGGTATTAGTATACGTTTTACAGGTACCATTCTGTACTGTAACATGAAATCTGGGCAACAATCAGAAAGCTCAGCTTCATGAGTGCTTCACAAAGGAAAGTATTTCCAAGAGGGAAACCATAGTACAATGGTGTGATGTAGTACAATGTAATTGGATGAGATGCAGGAACAAAAGTCACAGTACTTGAGTTGCTAGCACTGATCTACCACGTAGAGTCAGATAAACTATAGTATATTTCCTCTGAAATTTGGCTCACTTAATTCTAATCTATTCTGGGAAGGGACTATATTTTTCACCATGTTTTCATAGTCACTATCAAAAATAGAGTACAATTTTGATCTGAGGTTCTAGGCAATTATTGTAGCAGATAGGACTATCCTATTGTAGAATATGTTCACATATAACCAAATGTTTTGTTTGGTTGGTTGGTTTTTATTTTTGTGTTGTCCCAATCCCCTTGATCAAGAATTATTCTCTACTTTTTCTTTGGTCAAATTCCTTGACTATTTGATCAAAGGATTCAGCAGAATACAAAGTCACTTAAAATTAATAACTGACAAAATACATTAAACAACACAATGTGCTTGTTATATGCCCATAAGAAAACATAAATTGCACATATAAACTTTGTATTTGGTGAGTGATTCTGAAAAAATTAAGAATGATTGTTGCAAAGGAAATTACTTGAACAATCACATAATAAAATGTGAAATATTCAGGAGGGAGTAAGAAATCATCAGAAATACAGACAGGGCTGGCATCATGAAAAGGGAACTAGAAACAGGGGCTACTGTCCTTTACCAATAGATATAGCAGGTCAGGGACCCCTGATGTTTCCTGGATGAAACACTTGGGTTTCCTGCAGAGTAGTATCAGCAGCCGCAGCACTTTCCTCACCATGTTTATAGCACGTGGCCTGCCCTTTTGCCCTGATGTCCATGGGCTATGGGAAAGCTTCTGAGTTCCCTCTCTTTCTCATACACTTCCACACGTGCATCAGGTCTGTTTACACCATAACATAATTTAGATTTTAAGAAAGGCATTTATTTTAAGCTTACTCATGTCCTTACAGAATCATGTCTCTATAACCTGCTTTTGTAATTCAGTCATATAATAGACAAAAGATGTTTCTCTTTGGAGAAAAAAAGGGTGAAAAAGAGGAGGGAAAGTCTGCCCTGCAGTCTGAAACGCTTAGCTCTGAGCATCTGCAGACTGTTTTCCTCACATTCATTCAACTTTCATCTTCCATGATAACATCATTGCGTAGCACATAAATGGGCTTAAAACAAACCCACAGTTTTCAAACCTCCCCAAAAATACAGAATTATTGTCAATACCTATTATATTTAATAGGTTTATGGTTACTAGGTTCCCAGTGATTTGATCCCACCACAGAATAGTCAATATAGTAGCCATACAAATCCTCTTCATGTTTTGGTTTATCCCATTGAACCACAACTGATGTTTTCGTATTCCTTGTGGCCACTACCTGACCAGGTGTAGATGGAGCAACTAAGAAAAAGAGAGAAAACATATACTATTATGAAATACATAAAAATAAAAGTTAGCTGAGGTAGATGCAACACTGCATACTTTTATCATATTTAATCACTACAGACATGACTTCTACCATGCTAATATTGCTAGATGATATATATTTTAGTATATTTGTTTTACTGTAAGTCTGGATACTTCATATATGTGTGTATAAATATATTCATTTTTCTATTTGTTTACTTAGAGTAAACTTACTCTAACCTACGAAGGTCCCTACCTCTCTCATTTTGTATAGGTTTCTGAGGATGGAGTTGTAGGATAACGTATTTTCAAATATCAGTGTGGATAAAGGCTTATAGGTATGAAAATGTTTGCTCTCAGAAGTTCTCTCTCTAATATTCTCTCTCAAATAAAAGATTTATGTATAGCTTATGCCCCTGGAGCACAACTGCATCAGTAAGAAATGCACATAAACTGTAGAGGTATTATATAAAGAATATTAAGAAGTACAAAACAAAAGAAAGACAGCATTTTTTTTAATTGTCTTTCAATCTCAAAATAAAATAAAGTACTTGTACATTATTGTACTTCATGAAAAGATCTGCAAGATCCAATGGATTCAGTTTGAGATGAAAGTATCTCTATTTAGGAGTTTATGTGTGTCTGCAAGTACATGTTCTTAAGCTGCCATTATAATCAAAGAGCTAGCGCTTAATTCAGTTACCCAAACAAATTAATTTAGGGTCATTTTAGAACATCTGAGACCACTTCATAGAGCTGATACGTATGACTCAGGAAATACTTATCCCCCTTTGAAATGGCAAACTGAAACCGTTTGAAAAGGTACTAAATGCCTGTTTGGCTGATTAAACTGCAATTCTGATCAGTGGTTGGTAGAGTCCTGAAATTCATTCATCTCACCCCAATGTAGACACTCCATAGCTGGGTGCCATGGGGCAACTTATGGCAACATCAGCCATCTTATCCTCCAGACTCCAACTGCCACAGTGAGAGCAGAAACATCTATAGCACCTGCTGATCCTACAGAGAAACACCTAAATTTAGATGTTGATTTCAAACTGAATACTCTTTTACCACTCATTTCAATTGCATAATATTGTGTCATTTTGTATGGCCTAGAATAATCCCATTCACCTTCTAGTTTCTGCTCAAGAGAGAAAGCTACCCATAATTCTAGTGTAATGATTGCCTTCAGCATGAAGTTACCCTCAGGAATGTCAAATGCTGAGGTACCCTTAGCTAACCTCAGAAATGTCAAATGGTGCTATGGGCAAGCCACTAAAAGGAGCCATGTGTTTCTGATATGTTTTAGCTCAGGTGGTAAACTCCATCTCTGAAAATACTCCTGCAGTTTCTCTTTAAAATAGCTTCTTCTGCTTTCTGCTTTCAGCTATAGTTATGATTTATCCAGAATGTCTTGCGTTAGCCCCTAAGGGATAACCTATTTTCTGTACTAAGTGAAATAAATACAGTATTTTTCTTCCCTACCTTGGGGAATGTTGAATGGTTTAAATAATTTATATGCATTAATGAGACATCAAATCAAGAATACATAAAAGCAAAAGATGCTTTTATTTTATCATGTATACTTACAGATAAAGCTAAAGGTGATGAATTACACTTTTTAAAAATTATGGTAAACATTTAGAAGGCTATATCTATCAACATTAAAGGAACTATGGTATATCGGGTACTGTAAATATTTCTTATATTTCTAGCAAGTGCAGTAGTATAATATATATGCTTTTAAGGTGACAGTTGTCAATACATGAGGCTGTTTTATGTGACCTCTGTAAAACTGTAAAAGCAAACCAGATATTTGACCACTCTCTAAACTTTCACTTATGCATATGAATGTGAAACAATTAAGATAAACACTTAATTTTCATTTGGAAAGTTACCAACGAATATGCAGATGTATCTTCTCCTATCCCTGAAATCTACTAATCTGCATACCATGGGAATTTTGCACCAGCAGCAATTTGCAACTTAGAATACTAAGAAAGAAATGAAAGGTTAGCTTATCTATCTGAAACTGTAGGGAATTAGGTAGTATATAATTACCTAAGCCAGACAGTATAATTACCCAAGTTGGCAATTAACCTGTATTTTCTTACTTTTTGACAAGTCACATTAATAGAGCACTCTGTAGAATGAATAACTAAAATTAATTTAACTTTTTAACAATTATTGGTCTCAGAAAGGAGACTTGTGGTCATCAGGAAAATTTTTTAATGTTTCTAAAGCTTAGAATTTTGGTCTTTCTGAAATCCTTCACAGTATTGAACACCAACTGGTTCAATTACTATTATTGTAGTTCTACTGATTTTATTATAATGAGCTGTCTATTTCCATTTTGTAAAATAACAATTGCATTTAATATTGATGTCATAAAATTTATCTCTTACCGATGGTATCTTCTGGTTGAATAGGTACTGTGATTTCAGATGGATCACTGATGCCATGCTTGTTTGCTGACAAGACTCGGAAAACATATGATTTTCCTTCTGCAAGGTCAAACACTGCATAGCGAGGAGATTTTACTGCAACCTGTGCATTGACTCTTTGCCAGCTTCCACTACCAACCATGGACTACCAAAAAATAAAAAAATAAAGGAGAAAAGAAGCTGTGAGTCAATTCTGTGGACTGTAAAAAAATGAACATATTGCTGTATTGCATCCTGTCATGAATTTATTTAAAACTACGAAAGAAGGATCACTTGCAAATGCGTTGCTCTAGCATATGCAAATTCTAACAGCTCATGCATTCCATTACTCTACAAAAATGTCTGACTACCTCACTGTCTCCCTGTCTGTTTAGACCTCAATATATGCACACTTGTACATACAGCTAGCCTTCAGTTAGGGCCATGACTGTCAGCTGTGATTGGTTCCAAAGGAGTTAATTTCACGCCCTGCAAAACTTGCTCGAATGCCCAAAGGTTTGGTATAAAGCAAGAAGTTCTACTCCCAATTCTACAGAAAGGGAGGGAGGAGGATGTTACTTTATGCAGTGATTTATCTTTATGTAGTTCAGGGGTTTTTTTAGTAAGGTCATGTCCCTAAAAACGTTAATCAAATGGAACGATTACTTTTGAATATTCTCAATGCAGCAGCTGAGCTAATCATCTCTACAACTGCACATGGAAGAGAGCCAGCAAACAAGTACTCTAAGAGAAGTCTGCTGTTTGTTAGGTTCCCCAAATGAACTGTTGACCCAAATCAAAAATTAGTCATGGAATATTGCAGCAATTCTATTAAAGCCCAAGTGCTCAGTAAATAGCTTACATGAAATTTCCTTCAAGCACAGAAAGGTGCATACAAAGTAAATGCTTATAAAATTTTGGAACATACAGTCTGGGAACAAAACCTGATAGACTGTGAAGTTCTTAACGGAGGAACGGTGTTTCATAGGTACTTGGAAACTACCCTGTATATAAGAGGCCTACTATAGATATGTAATAAAAACATAAACAGCTGGAGCCCTTATATAAAAATATTTTTCATACATAACAAAAACAAAATCCATACATTTTATTCATAATAAAAAAGATTGAAAATATGAAATCAATATTCTTTCCATATATTCTACTTTCTGCCATGAAAAATGTTAGTTAATTGTTGCATTTCATTTTCACAGAGCAAAGAACCAACATCATGTTTTATTCTGTAGTTTTATTTATCTGTTAAATAATGACTTTAAGGGAATATTGCTATACAGCAGAGATAACTCATTTCCATTTTGTGTTTCCTGAGGAATTTAAAAATACATTTTTATTCTTCAGGACTGAGACTTCTTTATTTGAAATAAATCAGTTAGAAATTGTGCTTTTCTATACTTGTGCTTTTCCAAATTAACAGATAGCTGTGGAAAGCAAAAAACCAAACATTTATCTATGAACTGACTGAGCTATTCATATATATAAGATATTTATATGCAAAAAGATTTTAGATTCAGGTATTAATTAGTATAGTGCAGCTTTTTTTTTCTCCCTAACAATAGATTTTTAGTCCTCATTCTCACTTTCCCTTGCTATGTTTGGCATTTAATTAAGTCTTGTTTGTTCATTATTGTCATTGCTCTATACTGGTTTTGGAGCTATATAAAGCTATTTCTGTAAAATAAGCAGATACATATCTTTTCCAATTCATATGAAATTCAGCTAAGCAAGTGTAGGTGTCTTCTCAACAGAAACCTATATCTGAGCTTTTTCTGGGTTATTCTGTATATTCTGGAAGCAATGAGGCATTTTCACGCCAACAGCTGGTTGAAAATCCTTAAGTCAGTATGCTTGAAATTTATAGGTAAGAGCAGATGTATGCAACTGGGAATAGGTACAACGAAGACATTATTTTATTGCATAAAGAAAAACCTAGATACTTATATCTATGGAAATTTTCATTACTTTTTCTGAATGTGAAAGGCAGAGCAGGAGAAATCATAGATATGCTTGCTGGAAAATTTAACTAGTGACTGGACTTCACTTTACACCTATGGGTTCAACATCCAGCAGGTAATGGACGATGAAGAATGCAGAGATGGGCTACAAAGATCTTCTGAAATGGAGATTTTGATGTGACTGAGAAGGAAAAGACAAGATGGGGCTGCAAAAAGAGGAGTGATGTGAACAGAATGGTTGGCTGAGAAATGAACTTTGGAGGAATGTGCTGAACAGATGTGAGAAGAAAAAAGTTGCATGGTAAGGGCCTGAGAAAAGGCTGTCACAATATTCAAGATGCAAATTGAATGTGTTGTAGTTTTATGGACAGTTTTAGTGGATCGTTAAGAAGGGGCATATGCTAGAGGCATAATACATAAAAACTAAGTATAGCTTGGCATGTAAGAGTTTTAGAGGTCAGGTATGAGGCCCTGTTTACCCACTAGGGAAACTTTGCGGCAAGGAGGAGAGATGATGACCTCTGGCTGTAATCCAACATACTTAATTTAGAAACTTGGCCCTGTGACAGATGTATCTAAATCTTAGTAGTTTAAACGGGAGAAGAACAAACCTCTCCTACTGTGATGACTGAAGTCCCCGTCAAGTAAAAGAGAAGAGGAAGGCAGCCATGAAGACTGCCAGGGAGCAGTGAACCTGAAACAGGCATCTGCATCGCTGCTGACCTTACAGGGAATAAATTGGAAATATCAGGGTATAGCAGAGAGTGCTGTAAGCCTGAAAAAATGAAAATGAGAATCAAATTATGAGTCACTGTTTATTCCTAGCTTTACCACAGGACTACCAGAAAATTCCCTTGGATACAAACAGACTGCAAGCTTCCAGTCTTGTCTGTAGGACTGCAAAATCTTAAAATGTTTCTTTTCCATTAAACCACTACCTTACACATGTAGTTTGTTGTCATTTTAGACATCAGTACGCAAAGAGTACAGGGGTATCCTTTCCCCTGGGTCTTGAATTTCAGTGCTCATTAAATCACATAATAAGACATTTGATTCTCCATATTTATATGGCATCCCATTACCAAATCCTGTGAGACCATAGAAAGTGTTAGTTTCATTGTTCATTCTGTAATTCTAAAAATGAATTGAATGCAATTGCACACAGCAATGAAACAGCCAAATGCCACTGTACAGCACAGTACCTTCTCAATGAAATATGTCAGTGGTTCCCTGCCACGGGGAACAGGTGGATCCCAGCTGAGTACAACGTATGTTTTGCTGATTTCTGAGGCATGTACATTGGTGGGAGGGCCTGGAATCTGAATATCACCTGGAAGAGGAATAGAGGTAGAGAATGTTAAACAGCAAATCAACCCCTGGGTTAGTACTAATATTACAGCTCATCTTTCTGAACTCACACCCTGCAGTGCAATGCTCAGCTATTAGGAGCTATGATAGCATCTGTGCAGTTCACTTGCTCACTTTAATTAAATTTTGAGAAATAAGGCATCAGTTTTAAAAGCTAGTTATTTACTTTTTCAGTAAAAGTTAAATATGCCCCCTGAACACCTGTGCATTTGTCACAATTTTTCCTAAGATCCCATTTGAATTACTTCTACCTGCTGGGCAGAATGTCTTGGAAAAAAACCTACTCATTATATGCAAACAAGAGATATTTTTTGATCAAGGACAGAAGTTTAAAGAGCTATTATGAGAAATTTGAATATGTCCCCAACCCTCTGGTAACTCCACCAGTTAGTTCATGTGGCCTAATCAAACCCTTATCCCCACTCTCTCTGCAGGGTTACAGGAAACATGGGGCAGGAGCCTGTGTACCATGGGCCAGGCTGGAAGAATTCAACATGGCCCTTTGTGATCACGCTCACCCATCCAGTGTGTGAAAAACTGGTTTCGCTATCTAAGGAATTACAATGATGTAAAACAGCACTAGGTATAAGAGGCTCAGACCTACGATAGACCACTTCAGGCATAGCTACACAGCTCTTAAGAAGCTTCTTCTTGGAAATGGGTTAGAAATAGCACCTCAGCAGATATCTAAAAATGTTTTATTTTTTATGACTTGAAATAGAGAAAGCAAAAAGTTTTGTTCTTATAAGATACGTTTTTGCCACTTCTCAGGGTAGCAAGGAGCATATATCATCTAAATTCTCAGGATTTTACATTTTAAAAGAAAAATATTTCTATAATAATCTCTAAATCATGGAAGTGATGTTTTAACAGTTTATAAACGTCTGTAGAACCAACCAGGCTCAAAATGTACACTGAAGTTATTTCATCGTACACGTTCCCCAATCAAAACCAGACTTTTTTTCAAAGTAAACTGACATATCCAAAGAAAATTTATTTTTTCTCAATGCTTTCTGTATTTGATTCCCTACAAACACACCTTTTCTTTAAGAAAGGCACATTAATCAGCTGTTTAAGACAAAATTACCGACATACAGTCAAGAAAATTACAATAATCCTTCACAGCATAATGAATAAAGTCAAAAGGTTTTCAATTGGTTTCACATAACTAAATCCCAGTGTGTTTTCTTACAGCCTGGAAAACACCAAAGCTGACATAATTTGTAAAGATAAAGCATGATGGCACAGACTGCTGTCCCAGAATTGCACTAAAAAATAAATCTACTTGTGATCTATAAGATCTCTTTTTCAGAAATGGTCTCCAATCTAGCAGATAAAAGTAATGATCTATATATACAATGATATTTGCATATCCATACTCCTTTATTAAATTTGCACATTCATGTAACAGAATTCCAAATATCATTTTTCATGCCCATGCCAGAGCGGCCATTTCATGCCTCTGATCATTCTCAGGCCGTCCTGAGAGCAGGAGTATATTCTGTGAAGCTGAACAAGCAACACAAATATATTCTGATAATATAATATGATTCTGATCCTGTAATACCCATATTATTTCATCTAGTGTACCATCTCTGCAAAATAGAGAAAATTCATCTGTCCTGCCCATGTACTGGGGAAAACATTTAATGTCTGATTCTCCTTCAAACTACACCTGTTCTTACATGATTTCTCACTTAGTATGTTATTTTTGGAGATACAGCTTTATAACCTTTGTGGAAGAGAGTAGACTGACTTTTTTTTTATTACTGAGCCATTATAGTTAACATTTTTGACAGTTTAAGTGAAAAGATCATTATCCAAACCTAAAAATTATCACCACATATAGAAAGAACCAAAGAGAGAAGAAATTGAGGCTTTATCTCAAAAGTTGGCAGTGATCTCTCCAGTTGTCCTAAGGAAAAATAATATTTAGTGTATAACTTTAACCTTATGCACAACCTTTCTATTCAGAGAGATATTAATTAAAGAATTAAGATGGATTGCATAGGTTTTTATGAAAATGGAAATAACTTGCTCAGATCATCAAATTCAGTCTAAGAAAGCTATATTTAGCTCCTAGAAGGATGGGAGGAAGGGAAATGTGAGCAATCAGATGCAATGTTCAGCTGCTTAAACTCAGCTTAGCACTAGGCAAAGCAAAAAGTTGAGTAGATGCTGTCAGCATGCTGTTGGGTGTGTGATGTTCTCTGCCCTTTTAGACTTCACCTTTCACTTGTGTTCTCAGCCTTGCAATCCAGAATATCTGCCTTTATTACAAAGAATTCACTTACTATGTGGATTTTTTTCAAGCCGTGTTTCTAATGATAGTGCTAAATTCTTGGAATATAAACAGATGGACTGAAGTCATAGAAATGCTACATACCTTCAAGGTCATCCTTACTGATCACAATCTTCCGCCCTTCATCCACATGAATAGCTGTTAATCAAAATATTCAATTAGTTTATTGAACCAGTCTAATAGATTTACAGATTTTGCAAATAATTGTCCAGGACCCATTCAAAAGCTCATATACCTCTGTTTCTGTAACACTGTTACTGAATCATTCCCCAGATGGTTTCAACTCAGCCAAACACTGGTTCATTCACTTTCACAGGAAAACAAAGCATGAGAAGTACTATTTAAAGATGTACTAAAAAGCAAGAGTCATAACCACAGTAGATAGATTCAATTCTGTGGCAAATTAGTAACCAACTGTATCATGATCTGGACATTTTTTTATAGGAATTAATCAAAAAGCTAATGGAAACACAGCATATTCATCTCAGATTTTACCAGCAACATTGGGGCAGTGCTCTGCAGTCTTCATAATGAATTTAATTCCCCTCTGAGTAAAAGGAGCACACAAAACAGAACATGTGCAAGTACACAATATACGGAATCTGTACAGGGGTTTAGGACAAGGCTAAATCAATAAAACTACTCCCCAGAGCAAGCCAGCTTACTCTATGCACGGAGAAGCTCTCATAAGGCTCCTTTGCAGTCTGCAGGGGCCTTGAGCACAAAACCAGCTTTCAGAAAGGGCTTGTTCATTAGACATATTGACTTGCTCCACCTGCTGGAAAAGTCACAATCTCAGAGATCCCCCAACCTGTAGCACTGAGAGCTTTGTGCCAGTACTTGCACTAAAAAGATGTGGATAAATACAATAGTCTGTGAGCCAGTGAATTCATATGAAAACTTTTGGTTTTTCTTTAACTAAAACATATTCAATAGCTTTTTCAAAAGTTACTACCAGCACATGTAGGTGGTTATGGGATCTGAGGGCCCATCTGCCAGTGCAAATGATACAAGCTTCCAGGGACCTCTTTTGAAAACATTTCTCTTTGTGATAATGAGGGCCTAAATTTAAGGCTGAAGAAAAACAGCCATAATTGATATGGAAGTCCCCAGGTCCTTGCAAGCTGTCTGTATGGGCATTGCCATTTCAACCACATCCCTCACCTTGAAAGTACTGAGATATTCAATGAAAGAAAGAAATAAACTCTGCTTCTTAAGTTAACTAAGCAAAGAGAAACGTTAAAAAAAAATGAAGAAAGAAAAGAAAAGAAAATAATCAAATATTCAACATCTGCTTCTGCCTTGAATAACCTACTTTGTGTTCTCTCCAGGTCAACAGGGTCAAGAGCTGCAACTGGTTCAGATGCTCGAGAAGGCCTGCTAATGCCAGCACTGTTCACTGCCCTTACACGGAATACGTAAGAATGTCCCTCGTAAAGACCAGTCACAGGATACTTGCAGATTTTTACAGGAGCATCATTGCACTGGACCCAGTTTTCCAAGCCTACTTCACATCTTGGAATAACAGAAGACAGCATTTATCAGTACCATTCCACAATAAATATATACCATCCTACACAGAATCACAGAAGTCATAGTCACTAAGTAGAGGAACTAAACCATACACCTCATTAACGAAAGTCACACTTCTTTCCTCTGATCAGGCAACCAATTCCCACCCTGCTCATATTTATTCATAATGCGATTGCAAAGGTCATTCAATAATTTTTCTTGCATGCTTTTTGGCCTTTTTGACTCTCTCTGCTTACCTACCATTTGGTTCTCTTCCTTGTCAGATAAAAAACAAGTTATTCACTTTTATTTTTAATATGCATCCCCACAGAACATGCTGAAATTACAACATTCACCCAATCTTTTCCATGTCTTTGTTGTCATATTTTTAAGCAAGAATCATTGTGCTTTTCCCTCCCAACAATGGTTGGCCCACAGACTGCAGGAGTCATCAAGAAGCAGAGTGATGTTCTCATACTGACTCCTTTGTGTGTACATACCTGTTTTGTGCCCTACTACTATAAACTTTTGTGGAAATGACTGCCCTGTGCCCTGGCAGTACCAGGAAAAATAGGGTCATGATCAAGGGCTCCTTGACACTGCAGCAGTCCAAGGAAAATGTCAAAAGGCACAGCAGACTAGATTACATACAAAATAGGTGAAATACTCCCATGATCTATGCACTGCACAAATTAAATGTAAGTGGTAGAGTCCCCAGGGCTTAAGTTAATTTCCTCCTACTGACTGCCACTCATAAGCCAACATTTTCTAGCAATTCACATACAGTGGTCACTGAACCAAATTGCAGGGTAGCAAATAGCAATGAGCCACAAATGTTGCTCTTAAGAGTAAGTAGTGTACATTATGAAATCATTTTAGTAACATTTTTGCTGACTGACAGTTTCAGACACTAAGGATTAGATGTTCTGCTCTGCTTACAAGGGGAAAGCATGCACTTCAGTGGAAGAGATATGCAAAACAGCGCTTGATCCCCTGTTGCCAGGCTGCCTTCACTGAGCCAAAACACCAGCAAAGTGCAAAGCAGACTGGAGGAGAGAGGGTTGCTATTCTGATTTAAATTAGCAGCTCCTGGGAGCTCCTGGCATACCACAGTTAAGGCAGTAATAAAAAGGTAATGTAATAAATCCTAGATTTCAGCTTTTGCAGTGTACAGATTAAAGAGACTAAATGTAATTGAAGATGCCTATGGATTCTGGCTTCTATAAATCACATAGTTGGAGATCATTCTCTGATTTAGCCACATCCATACTAGTGGGCATTTTTAGTGTCTGATAAAAGGTGGCTGCCTGCACCTGACTACTGAGAATGGCTCCCAGCCCTTGCTATCTCCCAGACTGTACCTGGGAAGGTACTAGATCATCTGGCTAGATGGGCTGGGCTACAAGTTTGCCAAGGAACAATCTAGTAATTTAACACAGTAGGCAGCTGAGTTCCAGTGACAACGGTCTATAAAAATATATCTAAAGAATCCTCATGTTGAAGGATACAATGGTAATTCTATTGTTCTTCAGTGTATACATGTTTTTAGCAATGAACAAAATTAAATAAATCCCACTGTTTACTTACTTGTCAACAAAATACCCGATGACTGGGCTCTCATTGATTGTGTTTGGTGGTTTCCAAGTAACAATAACATAGTCTCTGTTAGCATCATGGCATTTAACATCCATCGGTGCCCCTGGTGCTCCTGCGATCAATGCATCAGCATCTGAATCATAAATGAAAATAAATCAGTTTTGACCCTGACTTGACAAAAGGGAAGATTTCCAGTTCACTGTGCTATTTGTTTATATGAATGGGAGCCCAAAGATTTCATTACACACTAATTCACTGCACTAATGAATTAGGCCCATAATGTCTATATTTCCACATAGACGAAGATAGTTTTCAAGACAGAAAAGCAGCTTAGGCGTAAACACCTATTAGTTTTCACAAGAATTAAAAGCCCATGTGTTTTTGATGCTCTTTCCCACTGAAAGCTGTGGCTCAGTAGGTTACTGATCAGACCAAGGTACTCAGTAAAGAACATGTAGCTGAAGAAGATAATTCTCTTAAGGAATAAAAACTTTTTAAAATATTGATACATTTCTAAGTTGACTTATTATTTAAAGTCTTACAATACCAACAGGCACAAATAATCTATGTTCCACCATTAAGATACCCTTCTGTGGCTTCATTTTGAGATGTGTTGACTGATGTGGACCTACAACTCCTAATGAAGTCTCCTAACGAAGTCTCCTAACAGGTAAAGTTCTCTCCCTTCAAAGAAAATTTCTATAACACAAAAATACTCTGTATAAAGTCTAAAATTATAGAGTGCTACAATCAGTTCTGAGGTGGCTGGTGCTCAATATCACATCACAGGCTACATGAACAAAGGCAAGAGGAAGGCCAGAGAGGACACTAGAGATTCCAGAGGACATAGCTTAAGTCTAGTGCATGCAAAGGGATCAGACATAATATAAAATGGACAAATTTTTTCCAGTGAGATTAGGGTGGCAGAGTGGCTTGTTCAGGACATACTGCTAAGCTGATGAAGCCCTCATGAAGTCCTGTGAGGAAGATGGATCTCAACTCCCTGAAAACATATTCATGTCCCTCCACTTCATACAAACTGTCTGGATGACACTTCTGCAAGACACACATGTTCCAATACGTTTCCAAGAAGAATAAGTTTTAAAATTAATACAGCTCCAATTGCTTCAATAGGGCTGCTCCAGTTTGTCAGCAATGAGGAAGATGTATATGAGAGTGTGAAAGAACTGCTCAAGAAGAGCTATTTTTGTCTTTCAATGAAAATATTAATACATGACTGAGGTCTGCTCTCAGATGCACGTGGAAGCTCATTCTCACTTCAGAGATTTGTGCACACAAATGTGAAGGAAAATTCTGACCTTTATTCTATTTTAATACATTTACCTCCTCTTCTCTATGTCCCTTGTGAAAACTCTATTTCTTCAGTGAGCTAATTTCTTATTTTTGTTCTATTCTCTGATTATTGTGATAACTGCGAATGATAGAGAGGTAGGAATATTTCTTTTTATTTCTTGTCTGCCTCCTCGTCAGGCCAGACACAGGATATGAGAGTGCCCAACAAGGCTTATTCCTAGTTGGCAATCTCTAGAGCTAAAACCATCACAGTGAGGACTGCTAGTATGCAAAGTGTTTTATTTCCTGCAGGGAAAGGAGACGGCAAGGCAAGAAACAAGCTGTTTCTTCAAAAGAAGGATTTCTATGGTTCTTCAGGAATGAAAATATCCTCAGAAGTGTGCTCCTCTTGAAGCCCCCCATTTATTGGCTAATCTTAATAACACAGACTACTACATATAAATCAAATTACTATGAAATACACAAGGCTGGATTTCTTTTGTATTTCAGCCATTACATGGAATTTTTTATAAAACTAATCTTTTCACTGCTTTTTGATTTTTCATTTCTCCTCAAGAAACAGGTAAAAAGTTTACCTCTGACAAATAGGTATGCACTGTATTCGCTCACTCCACCTCTTGTAACCATCCGCAGGGTGTATAAACCTTCATCATCTTTGTTCAGATGGGTAAAGGAAAGAGCTGCCTGGCCTTCTCCAAAATACAGCTTTGTCCACTTGGAGTCCTTTATCAGCACATCTGGAAGAGAAGACCCATCAGACGTATTACTATGCTGGCCAGAACAACCTATGTCCTAGTGCAGCTCTGTGCTAATCAGCAGCACAAACTAACCTTTATGTCAGGTTTATTCAGATTGATGGTGCTTTGGTGCTATGAAAACTCTACAGAAAGTAAGCTGCATCTCTCTAAACTTATTTGATCATTGAATTTCAGAGAATATGAGGACTCAGAGTACCCTATGCAGTGCCATCAACAGAATTTCATCATTATAACTTTTTAATACATTGACAGAGAAGAATGCTGCCCACATTTCAAAACAATGACATGAAAATCTGCCATACCTTGTAATGAATGCAGGGTGGAACTTTGTTTCATGTTTAATAAGTTTTGCTACCTGTTCAGGTCAAATGTCAGATTATTTAATTTCTTCCTCCAAATTTAATGACCAGATTTCAGTTTAATCTAAAGACTGCTATAAATATACACCAAATTTAAACCTTCACGGCATGCATGTCGAGCAGTGAATAAAATTAAATTTGAATCTCTCACAGGTGAGAGGTAGTGACCCATGATTAATGCAAATTAGTTTGATTGCTTAGTGAAACCAGAGCAAATGAATGAGCAGGATATTTTATGCTAGCCAAGAGATTTTCTCATACCACCCTTTTTAATAACTGATTGGATTATTTTTGATTTTTAACTCCCTAAGATCTATTACATACTAATTTATTGTAATCAGTGCATCAGAACTGTATTTAAAGGAGCTGAATATCTATAAATGTTTATTATTATATTGCTTAAATACACTTTGGAGCAGACGTTCAAAGAACTGTCAAGGAATCAGTTTTCCCACCTACCAGCTGCATTGCATAAGAAAGTATAAAAAATGCCACACATTCAGATAATAAAGCATCTGGAGGACACATACTACTAAAACTTACAGCAGTAAATTGCATAATCACCTAAGCATATAGTTGTTTTCTGAGAAGTGTAAAAAGTAAATTCAGTCACATTCCTTCCCATGAGATCCTTAATCATGAAATCCTTACCTAGAAAATCTGCATGTCCCCTTTCTGTCATGCATGTCACAATGGTACTGAGAGACATGTAGACTCACGAATTATTTTAAATCAGAAAACATCTTAATCTAGAAACTTTAACCAATGCATGAGTTCTGTGCAAAATCCTGAAGAAAAAATGAAGTTGAGTGACCAGCACATCTGAAAAGCTGGTCACTGAAAAGCTTGAGAGGGATGATAGACGCTCTAGTTTGAATATACAGAAACTGCAGGCAAGTCTGTATTGTCTGTTAAGGCCAGAATCATCCATTTCCAGCCTTAACGTATACCTGAGACCAGAAACTGCAGAAGCAGTCATGTTTGGTAAGAACAGAAAAACTCTCCATCACACACTGCCAAAGACCCACCAGATCCCCTAACTAAGCAGGAGCTCTCTTTTTTAATGCAGTCTGGATGCCTTTCTAGACAAACCAAGAAGAAGAGTAAATTTTGGAGGACACAAGCATGTTTAGAAGTTCTAATAAAGCAGGTATTCATGCACCAGCTATCACAATAACATTACAACTACAGGGTCTCACTATTGCACTCAATTTCCCTGTCTATTCACTTGTTGGGCTATGTAATTTCTCCAAGAATTTTTCAAAGAACAAACCTGTAGAAGACTAACCCTTGGAGGCAGTGTGATTCCAGCCTTACATGCTGGTTTTAGTACATGAGATAATTTCCCTAAAACATTACTCTGCTGAAAATTCGTATAAAGAGCAGGGCATTACTTGATACTGAAGCTTCTTTTCATCATGTCTGCTGAAGTTTCAGCTAAATTCTGCACTCCATTTTTCCCTCTGAATACAATTATTTTATTCTAGCTTACAGTATAAATGGCTGCAGAATGCTGGTGCATGTAGTTGTATAGTATTTATATTACATAAGAGATCAAAACCAGAAAGCTCCTGTTACCAGCTGAACTCATATCCAGATTAGATATGCATTTCTGAAGTATTATTTTGATTTAGTTCTTTCAGTAACTTAAATTGTTCTAAGTGGGCCATGAATTATAGACATCATATTCATGTTTATAAAATCCCAAACCACTTCAGAGGATTAGATTCAGTTGACATATTTCTGTCGGAGTCTAGTAGATATCCTCAATAAGGTTCACTCGCATGAAGCTTGTTAATGCTGGATGAACACATATTTCTCTCGTGTAAAATTATTGGAAGTAAATCATGCATATCTATCTCAGGGCTTTAGTTATTATTATTTGATTAACACAAACTGAAAAATTTTAGGAAAAATGCAGTTTGTCTTAATGCAAGAGAGAATTAAGTACTACTTCTTAAAATAAAAAGATGAAAAAAGCCCCAGAACATCTAAAACACATGATTTTGAAGAAATTATTAACTTTCTCATTGTTTAAACTTCTGCGTTGCCTCCAGCTTTCATGAGACTTAACACAGGGAACTGTGCAGCGCATAGCAAAGGTTCATAGTTCCTGCTGTGTTTGGGAACAAGTTTGCCAATTGACACCTCCATAAACCTCTTGAAAATATTGCAATCCATGTACAAGCAACAAAGGATGATTCTAAGCTTATTTGTATTATTTCATGCGAATGTAAGTAAAATAATGGGATGAAAGTCTATGGGACTCAGTAACAAAAAAACCTATTGGCTTCAGAGACCAAACTTTCATCTCAGGTTTTCATACAGAAGGTGTGTGAAAGGTAAGAAGGTAAACTGAAGTCAAATAAGGGGCAAACAACATGGTACTCTTACACATCAAAAGGGAATTACCTTGGCATTAGGAAAGGTTAAACTGAAAGGCTGTAAGCTTTTGTTCACCTATCCATAGTGCAAGAAAAATTCATGAATGAAACCTGGAACAACATGGGACGTCCCTTGAAAATTAGCAGCTCTTCATAGCTGCAGTTCCAAACCCAAAATCTCAGGAGTTTGGTGCCTTGAGAAACTGGGCACAGTAGGAGACAAAGTAAAGGTACTGGTGACTCACCTCAGAGAGAGGTGAGTGATTATTTATAGTGATGACAAATCCCTGTACTCTTTAGTGGCAACAAAATCTGGGTTCATGGATGAGCCTTAGATTTTATGTTATTCACCAAACAATAAAAAAGCCATTCTGATCAGCTCATATTTTTTGTTTTAGTAACACCTAATAGTTCCATCACAATGAAGCATCCGCAGTGATAGACTAATAGGAATGAAACATTAAGTAGCAGTCGATCCCTGAAGGATCAGATGTGAATCTATGTAAAACTACTACGTACATGGAATAAAAAGCATAACTAGCAACAATAAAAGCATCCTTTTTCTGATTTTACTAACCTTGAATTCTTTCGACTTTTGACTGTCTTATTAATCTTAGAGACACTTCTTAGTTCATGCATTACATTATCTTAGCTATGGAAATTTCTGCCACCTTGCCTAGGACCAGTCCAAACACCAGTCTTGGGAGTCCACCATTCTCAAATGTGGTCCCTTTGGGAAAAAGTCTCACCATTTACAGATAACCAAGGCTTTCCTTAAATCCTCAAGCAGAATATTTACTTTAGAATCCTACACAGAGATTGTGGTTAAAAGTGGTGAGCTAAATATCTGTTATGAGCCTGCTATCCATTAAGTTTAAGTAGTTAATTTTATTTTTCAAGACCTTTTCTGGAGCAGTGAACAAACACTACTCATGCAGGGTTTGAATACCACCCATCATAGTATTTGAAATGCTTCAGTTTTCGGTACTTCCTGTTAAGACTGCTTCATAGCATAATTTTTCACTGACAAAAAACTCAAGGAAAACCTACCAACATGGCACTTAAGCAGAAGAGCAAAGGCATGTGTTTCAGGCCTAGTTTCTGTAAGTATTTCTTAACTATGCATTGAATTGATTTTAATATAAAATTCACAATAAATACTGGAATAAGATGCAAGTGGAGGCCTGTGCACACACCTCAGTGCTTCAAACTTTACTGCTCTGTGAATGCCCTTCAGCTCAGTTATCACAGCATTCATTTTTAGATCATGGTCAAATCTAGGAAGTGAGTTCAGATCTCCACCTAGTCAGTAAATGTTCTATTGTGTTTTTAGATAATATGAGATTGCCCCTGTTGCTGTAAATGTGTGCTTAAGAAAAGGTTGACCAAGTGACTTAACTGAAAGAATGTGGGTCTATAAATTCTAAACCAGAGATATTTGTTTGCTCTATTCCAAAAATAATTCTGACAATCTCATGTTCTAAGCCTGATCTGTGCCCTCAGTGCTTCCTCCAGCATTTTCCAGGTAGCTTCTACCCAATGTACTAACTTACCATCTCTATACCACTCAGCACGAGGTTGTAGTCTTTTCAGGTCTGGGGTGATCAACATAGAACACTTCAGGGTCAGTGTTTCACCTTCAGTTGCAAAGGTGACTCCAAACTTCTCCAGAAACTGGACATCAATGTGGGTGAAACAAATATCGTACGACAGGGGCACTATTAATGACAGAATGAAAACATTCTTGAGTGTAATTGTACTTGGCACAAACAGATTACTATCCGATCTGAACATGAGATGGACCTCTCTATTCTACTGAATGCTGATCTAAAATACAACTGGGAAAGCAAAAGCATACAGACAGCTCCTATTGTAACTGAATGCTTAAAAAGCAAAGCTGGAAAAAGAAAGTTGTATCCAATTTTTTCATCTGTAAAACATAACTCTGATAAGAGTACATAAACTATCTAAGCAAAACCAAAACAATGCTTACAGTGGAAGGGCATTATCCCAGCTGGGTGAGGCTCTTCACCTTCTCTGAACCCTATAAGATAAACATACAATAAACATTTAATGACAAGAGCATTATATTTATGTCTTGGTTTAATCATTATGTAGGACTTACTTCGCACAACCACAGCACAATTAGTTGATGCCTGCCCATGGACATTTGTTGCAACCGCTGAATAGGTAGCAGAATCATCAAAATCAGCTCTGAAAAGGGAAAGGAAGAAAACAGATTACTCTCTACACAAACATAAATTCTCTTAATGATTGATATTACAAACCAAGTTATGTCAACCCCGAGGAAAGCATATAAAGCTCTTCGCTGGTGTCACACAGTGCAAGACATTGATGAAAGACAATCAGAAAGTGGTGCTGGTTTTTACTGCAGTTTTATCACATCTTAGCAGCAGGCTGCATTAACTTGAGTGAACTGGAAATGACCTTTAGAGTATGATCAAAAGGAGATAGCCAGAGGATGCCAGTCTGGCTATTCCTTTTCTGTATGTAACGTTCTTCCTTAAGCCATCTTGTCCTTCTGCCACCTACATCAAGAAGGAGACATGGAAGAAAAGTATATGTGATGTTTGCAGACATTCCTCCTTCCGTAGCTATTCCCAGCAGACAGATACTGGCATTTTTTGCCTCTCATATCTTTTAGGAAGTCCAGAGGAAATGATACAAAACCAGGGAGACTGACCAAAATTGTTTATGGCCATAAATGTTTTGGCTTGATATATATTTTTAGTAGGAAAAAGGTATTTATTATGCAAGAACAATTAAAAAAAAAATAAAGAATACAATAGTTACTTTATGTGAAATAGGACCCATTGATGGATTGTCTTACTTACTATATCCTTCCTTGAAGAGGAAGCTACATTACCAGAAATATGGCCAGATGTTAAGATACAGGTACAAACTTTGATGTCCCAGTTCTTTTCTTATTAAAAATAGTGTCAGTCAGGAGAAGAACTACTGACATAAAGTTGAAATAAAGGAAATAAAACTAAATTATGTGCAAATACATATTTTTTGTACAATTACTCAAATTTATACATGAAATAATCTATTTGATATGTTTTTAATAAATATAAGGTGTCTACTGACTAGAAAAAGTTTAAAATATTTTGGACCAGTTTTTGGTAAAATGTAGATTAGAGTGGAATGAAATTTCCTCAGTTTTGATGAAAGAACTTAATCTGAATGAAGTAACAATTTTGAAAAAGTGTAATATTTCATTTTTACACTTCAGAATGAATCTTTAAAAAAGATCAGAATTTACTTCTGCTTTCTTCTCATAAACATACTAACTACTTTAACAGGAAAGAAAATATTTTGGTTTTGAGTCAACAAAACTTTTTATTTGGTCCAATTCAATATTTTTTCTTGAACTTTTCCATTGTTGTTTTTTTATTTCTTGTAATTTCTATTAGTTTGAGTTACTAGCTAATCAGAGTGCTTTCTGAAACACACACGCTTAAATCCTGCTTGTGTGTAGTTCATTTAGTAATGAATTTAATGGATGTGACTCAGAAATTCACAGTGATGAGATACAATGATGTTCTGCATGCACGCATTTAGTTTCGTCTCAGAAGAATAAACCTGTGTTTTCTTGGCAACTGCCATATAAAAAGGGATTAAATTCTGGTTCACTTGTCTTCTAAGAAGTCATATATCCCAAGTGTGGGAGAAGAAATTATATGTAGAAATGTTTGAGGCAAATTGCATTACAGGATGCCAATTTTGGAATATGTAGCACCTGTGACAGGCACATCAGATGCCTATTTTTCAGCTTCTGCATATACTCTGGACAGTGTCAAATCACAAAAATGATAGTATCTGTACTGTAATGTCAAGCACAACTTGATGAACGCTCTATTAAACTGAGATCTCTCCCTCCAAACATAACAGGACTAACAGCTCCTCCTGGAGGTAACTCTTCAGTCACACATTTCACAAAATAAAGCAGTAAAATATAAAGTTTATCATACAACTAATTATCAAAGACACAGGGGTAAGTCCTAAGATTAGGCCATTTAACCAAAAAACCTGCAGCTGGGTATGAAGCCCTTGAGTGCCCTGCTACAGACTGGACAGCAAAGTCTGGGAAAAAAAATATTAAGCTTGAAACTATTTAACTTTTTCGGTTTGGTTTGGTTTGGTATGGTTTGGTTTGGTTTCAGGAAGCATTTTAAAAAATGCCAATACGTGTTCGCAGATCTATATAAAGCTTAACTGATTCTGGATTTGTTCGAAATCTGGCAGACTTGTTTACATATCCTTGCACTAACTTCATAAAAGAAGACCTTTTTTACTACCTCAGTTTCACATTATTTAACATTCTGGTGATAAAATGCCAAAAGCAAGGTAAAACTGCAGTATAGGCTTTTTTCCTAAGCCTTTTTATAATTTTGTAATGTCTCTATACTGAAATATACATAGTTCATACATTTATCACAGCTGAGTACAGTGTCTTGTTATAATGAAATAAGCTAACAACAAATGAGGCATCCTGGAAATTTCTTACAAGAAGGGGCACCGCAGAATTAACTCTACTGGAACTGTAAGCTGTTATCACTCTGCATTTCATCCCTACTTTAAGGAGATAATTATAAAGTAAATAATACACAGTATATAGTATACTTAATAACATATGTATTAGTAAATTAAACAGCATTACATCATTTGTCCCCAGAAACTGGATCTTGATCACCCTAGTGCTGATGTGTTAGAACATGCCCTGGTGTGCACCAGCTTACCAAAAGGATGGCAGATACCTGATTAACTTTTCAAATGGATATATCTGTTCTCATCTCAATCCCCTCCCCATAGTTTTGGTCACATACGGAACAGTAAAACACATGTCTTGATGAGATCTTCCTATTTGTTATGGTCTCCAAGGTAAGGAAAACAGAATAGGATCCTAAAAGTCCCTAGAAAAGACAGGAGATTCACAAAGGGGTTTTTCTTTTTAGCCCAAGAAGTTCGATGTCTGAAAGCAACTATTTGACATAAGTTAGTGATGGATGATAATTAATTTTCTCAGGGAGAACAAAAGAAAGAAGTTACTGACCAAATGACTGACCACACTTTTACAACATCCTTTGGTTTTATGAAGAGAAACAAGGTACTTACAGCTATTATGAACAATTCCCCAGGCCAAGCACTTTCTGCTTTTTAAGTTCTCTACCTATTTTCTGGAGGTCACTGCTTTGAAAGTATTTTATAGCTCCTTGCTATGATCTCTAACCTGACACTCAAGTTGAGAAATCAAAGCATCTTAGACAGCCTAGTACTCAGTGGAATGCTTTTAAATATGATACTAGAAGTGTATGGGGTTAGTGGGTAAGAGCTACACAGCACATTTGTTTAATACCCACTCTGAAGAAAGTTGGACAGGATGGCAAATCACATAAGGTCCTGACTCTCCTTTCATGCTAGATAATGCTCAGACTGAGGGTTATTCTGGCAACTATCTACTTCCCTATGTGCTAAACCCCCTAAATTTCCTAAATTGCACTGTAAAGCTCATTGAGTCAAGGCCCGTTAGAAATTATATTTTAAGTACCCAGGAGGTAAGGTGTGGTCTCTCCAACAGTTATTCTTGCATCATGATGGAGAATGTGTTTTCCAACCTTTACAAAGGTCAGATAAAATATGCATAGAATACATTTAGATAGCATGAAGTGTGAGTGCAGAGCTGTATCTATCCCAAGGTGCTAATATTTTTTGTGAAAATTAAATTGCCCTGAATCCACATGAGGTTCTGAAGTGCTAATATTTGTGCAAGGAATATTCCCCAGGCAGATACATCTGTTTAAAATGCATATATTCATTCATCTGCCTAGTGTAGATTTAAACACAGGAATTAAGAGTGAAGTAACGTTTTTGCCTAAATTGGAACACAATTCAGTGCGTGTCAAGAACAGGAAGCAGTGCATAGTAAATTACAGAGTTAAAATTCCCTCCCTTGAATCCAAATGACAAAATTTTCAGTGTTACGGCTATATGACATCAAAATGTGGAAATACTCTACAAGATTACCATCTCCAGCACTGATTCCCCAGTCAGATGGAATCGAACTCATTCTTTTTGTCTGATTGGGTTTTGTTTTTACTGAAGAAGGGATCTCTGTTATGAGGTGGCCACTTACCTACTGTTGCAGCTTATAGTGGACAGTGACTGATACATCAGAAGATCACGGACTATTTCATGTGGGTGCTGTTGCTTGCATTCCAGCAAGGGAAGAAGAGCAGGAGTACAAGCCTGCTGCCTATACACTCACCGGTACTGCATGCTTGCAAAGCCCTGGGAGCTGCAGTTTATCACCCAATTAACCCTATTCAGCTCTAAGGCTCTGCCTTCTACTCTGGAGGACTGCCTTTGCTGCAGTGCCTTTACTTTGCTCTACTTGTACCTACAGCAGGAGAAAAAGCAAGTCTCACTGCCTCCTTCCAAATTAAATCATCTCAAGTCTTTTGTGCCTAATCAAACTAAAACAGCACAGCACTGACTGCACAGTGTAATTTGTTAAGTCAGAATAGTTAGAAGAGAAGGTTCATTCAATTTTTAACCTTCTTTTTCTTTACAATGGTGGTGGTGCTGAGTGGAGCGCTTGATCAGCGGGCCAGCTCTGCCTCCTGGCAGCAGGTACTACACTGCACTCTGCTGGCTTGATCACACATTTCTGCTGATTCAACCACAAACCTTTCCTGATGCAATTACAAGCATTCTTAAGCGATGGCTTAATGAAACAGGAAAGGGACAGGGCCCTGTTGAAAGACAGAACACCTTCAAACTTTGAGCCTTGTATAGGTAAGATCGTGCAGTCACATCACTCTAACAGAGCTCTGGGGGTCAGGACTGCCCTCCGGCAGGAGCATACTGCTGTCCCCTCTATGCCCTAGCAGACGTATCAGGAAGTGCAATGTAGCCATTCACAGTTGCATAAATCTAAAAGTGATTCGTTTCAGGAGTCATCACAGTAAACAAACAAAAAAAAAAAAAACCCAAAACTTGTTGCTAAACAAGTAGCTGCAACTAAGAAATACAAAATGTTATGATTTTTAATTACTAAGATATACTCTCAGGCAGAATATATTTGCAGTTATGCTATAAAGCAACAGGACATCCTCATCTCAACACCTCTGATATAGAAATCTTGTCTTATATTCCTCTCCATAGTTAAATTAGGTGGGATAAAGAAATATATTTTAAATAAACCCTCATATTCTCAGATAAGTATCAATCACTTCAACTACCAGTAGCTTTCCCTCAGAGGATTCCTCACAGTCTTCTCTGAATCGTGTATCACAAGTGAGAGGAGAAATGGCATGAACCACTACCCTAATGCAGGCTGGCAATATCTCTTCTCCTATAACTATGAGATGTGTGAAAAAAACAAGGAAACTCAAAACCCCTTTTCTTTACTGCTCAAGGGAGACCTTAAGCTCAAGCTTCCATTTGATGAAATGTAAAAGGAGGAAGAAAGAGGTGTTATATGATAATGATAGTGCTGAATGCATGCAGAAAATGTCATAAATTGCATACAGAGCATCATGAAAACATGAGAAAAATGACAATGATCTGGTTACTGAATAGGCTGATGGGCCCTGGAAGACAGCAAACAGAGGGTATGAAACTGTGTCCAGTTACTACTTTAAGTTGATGAGGTGACATTCTGGTTTTGGTGCCTCAAGAATTTTTCCACTGGTATCAAGGAATACTCATAGGAATAAATATCACACTTGCATCAGAAGGAAAAGTTCACTCCCAGAGCCTCACTGAAGGGCCAGAAAGGTAGCCAAGAAATTCCAAGGCCGTTTTGAGTGACTGCAGATCAGATGACATGCTGCTCAGCACTTTGGTATGAACAGCTGAGAAGAGCACAGAAGTGAAGAGGCAGAAAATCCCAAGAGTTCTACTTTACAGACAAAAATATTCCAAATATATGCACAGAAAGATATGCATGGAAAATCCAGAGCAAATTGATACATGCTTGTATAAAAACATTAATAATGTATATATTTTAACCACCGTCTATACATCCATTGTTTTCAATACAAGACTTACCTAGTAATATAGTAATATGCTATCAAAACATTATTCCATTTTCTGCATGTTGATTTTCTGTCTTTTGAGGTAGAAAATACAGCTGATTGTCAAGTTTTGAAATAAAATAGATTAGTTGTAAATAAACAAATTTATGGTTAGAAATTTAAATTTAATTAACTGTAACTGTATTTACTGTGGTAAATAAATCATAACAGTCCCCCAAGTATTCTTTTAAGAGAAGAAAGGAAACCTGGGAGAGAGCAGCTAGGCATCTTTAGGTGGCAAAAAGGCCACACTGACACACAGAAGGAAGAGAAATGGAACAACAGTCTCTGAAGATAGTGGCTTGGTTGAACGTGAGGGAGCCTGCATGAATACGTCTGGGACTAGTAAACAAAGGGTAATGATGGGTGGGTGTGGGAACCTGAGTAGGTGCCAATAAATGACTCTGTGGTGTGGCTGATTAAATATGCCTGGGTCTGAACACTTCCAAAGCTGATTGTGGAAGGTGACTAAACGACTATATAACCAGCACAGGAAAGAGAAAAAAAGCACCAGGGGGATGTAAGCCATTAGTACCCTTCAGCCTGATGGTTACAGATGCTCAGAAAGCAGCATCAACACTGATTCTCATGTCTTCAAAAAGCCATTTACTCGCAAAATGTCACAAAAGAAACCTACATACTACATATCCAGCATCTGGACCCACCAAGCAGTTGGTCATGGACACTAACCCAGAAAAATAAACAGTCACAGACACTGATTGGCTGTGAGTCACAGTCACCACACTTTGATCTCCTGACTGTCACACACAAATCCAGACAAACGAGAGAATTTTCCATTTTCCCTGCTGCAAGGGAGAGGATTGCAAGAGGATCACCTGGTTTTATCTTTTAACCTCCCGTTCTTATCTCCAGAAGTAATGTTGGTGCGAAGAATCAGCTGTGTCAAGACATCTCATGGATGCAGCAGTCAGCAAGTTATCCATATCCTGGGGTAGAAGACTATGCGAGTGTTTTAGAAGTATTCATAAGTACTGCTACTCCTTGAGAAATGTCCCTTAAGAAGCAGCAACTTAGTGATCTTGCTGCCAGTTTCTGTACAAGGGTATGCTTCTCCCATCCGGGACTATGAAAAGGTGGACAGTTGGGCTGGTCTTTGCTACAGGATGAAAAAGGCAAGTAGTCTTTCCCAAAAGCACTGTACTAATGTCACAAGTCTGTGCTCAGGGCTGCTTCCACTGGTGACAGATGGAGACAGGATAGAACATGAAATGTTTGGCTAGCAAAGTGTTAGCCACAAATATTCCAGCTGTTCCAGCACAGCTGATGCCCATGTTCTGGATAAATTAAAAGTGAGGGTTTGTGTCTCTGCTCTGCACATTAGATTTCTTTCTAAATACCACAGCCACATTCTCATGTTTCTTTGGGTTTTCATATTTTTACAAAAGCTTTGACCAGGTCACATGTAACATTGTTTAGGACAGCATGGGATTAGTTTTGGGAAGCTGTTCTTCCTCAGCATTTTCTATACCACCACTTTGAAAAATTCATTAAATTAGAAACTTAAAAAAAACCCAAACTTAGAGTGCCTTACTTTTGGAGAACAAAAAAATGGAGACCAAAATATAAACAGAACCTAACATATAATACTGATAACTAGGTATCCTTGTCTGATCAGCTAAATTTTTGCTTACCTTAAAGAGCTTCTTCATGGCAAGAACATAAAATACAGACATTTTTCCACTTTGAATGCTGAGAAGATATAATTCTAATAAAAAAAGAACTACCATTTTTTCAGATACTTACCTCTTCTTTTCTATCTTCTTGTAGATTGCTGGAGTTAAATAATTGAAATATCTAATTTTTCATTTCATTTGCATGATGTAATATCCAGCTAATTAGTTAGCCTTCTCTAGCCTAAATGTGAATACCACAGAAAAGTATGCTGAATTCAACTACTCTCTTGCAGCCTTTGTGTGAATTTTTTAATTGTATTTGATACAAAATACTTTGCTTAGAGTATACAAAACTGTTGTATACCCTAGAATAATCTACCTGTTTATATGCAACACATGTACTCCATATTTGCTTTCAATTCTGTACTTTCTTGGATCACTTGCAGGGGTAATCAATTCTTCATTTTTGTACCTGACATTTAAGAAAAAAAAGAACTAATTAATATCAGTTAATATTCACTGCATTAACTTAGTAGAATTTTACATCCAGATATCATTTACTATCATCTGAGGTCTCTCTGTAAATCTTCTCTACTTGCATAGAGTATTCTCCAGCATGCATAGCTACACAGTGGGCCATGAAGGCAAAGGGTGACCATCACTCTTGTAAGAAAGTGGAAAGAGAAGATGTGCATCCAAACCAGAAAAGCAGGTAGTGAAGCAGAGAGAGGACAGAATGTGACTTGAACTTTCCAGTCCACTAGCCCTGACACAACATGTGAAGCAAACTTTGTCTTGGATCACAGTAAAGCATTTCAGCACAAACAAAGGAAGCAGCAACAGGTCTGTGCCTCAGGTTAGATTTTCTCAGTCTAGCCTGGGCCCTCACATAGACAGGACAACACTTGTCTGGAGAGGGCAGCTTCAGGGATGTTGCATTCATGTCCACCTCAACAGAGGCTGACACAAAGTGAACACAGTTATAGCCCATGACAATAATGTGCAAGTTTACACAGGCTTAGCAAGTAGTGTGTCTATTTTGCCATTTGCTACTTCATCATGAGGGAATTCAATGGCCAGAAAGACTGGAATGCCTTCCACAGTCTGCCTTCTGAAATACTTGAGTTTGCTTCTCACATTGCACAGGGCCATGCAGCAAGTTGTCCTCCCACTCCTTCCACTGCAGTATCAACTGCTACAATCCAGCACATCTATGAGGATTATAAAGGAGGTTTAACATAGCCATTATGCATGTGACACTTATCAGTTATGCCATAACTTACAAATGAAAAAAGCTTAACAACATTTTTAGAGGGCTGGGAAAGTCTCTTACCATTGTACAACAGGGGTGGGAAATCCTTGTACGGTGAAGCAAAGGCTCACAGACATCTTTTCCCAGACAGTGTGAGACCTCAGGCGTACTAGAATTTCAGGAGCTCGACTTATACTTTCCTCAAGAGCATGTCTTTCTAGAGCCATGTTTTCTTCTACCTAGTAATCACAGGGGGGGGGGGGGGAGGAGGGAGGGAAGCATCTAGCACAAGACTCAAACAGGTAGAAAATCTAATCCACAAATTTGAAAGATGCTAAATCACTATTGGCATTTGAAACACAGGCTTCAATTTCAATATAACTTATAATTCTGCTTGGATAGAAACAAAAAGGTTTGGCACCATACCATCCTTTGTACTTCAAGTCTATCCAGATGTTCTCTAGCACGGTGTCTGGCTGTGTGAATCTCTTTTTCCAAAACAGACAACTCATTGGCAAACCGTATTCTTTTCTCTTCACTTGCATGAGTCTTTTGTTCATGGGTCCTGTAGGACAAGAAAAAGTAACAGGGAAGATTAATCAATAATGAAGAGTCAGGGACTCTTCATTAGGGATTGTAGTGGTAAGACAAGGGGTAATGGCTTCAAACTTAAACAGGGGAAGTTTAGGTTAGCTATAAGGAAGAAGTTCTTTACAGTGAGGGTGGTGAGGCACTGGAATGGGTTGCCCAAGGAAGTTGTGAATGCTCCATCCCTGGCGGTGTTCAAGGCCAGATTGGACAGAGCCTTGGGCGACATGGTTTAGTGTGTGGTGTCCCTGCCCATGGCAGTGGGGTTAGAACTAGATGATATTAAGGTCCTTTCCTACCCAAACCATTCTATGATTCTATCATTCTATGAATATGAAACTTTAAGATTGTTGCTCATACACTAGGCATTAGGCATCTGAGAACTCTGAAATTGTATCAGCAAGATGTAGAATTTAGTTTAGGAAATATTCTTAGAGTCTATTTGCCTATCTAATGAGCATGTGAAATGAATATGAATTTTCCTTCTTTTTTTTGCCCCTGTATGTATGGTGCCATAGATAGCTTCAGGTCTTGAAAGCTGGCATGGTCACACTGATGCTGTACCCCGCAGACCTAGTCCCCTGATAATCGAGATCAAGAACCTGCCTGGCTTCCTTCTGGCCCCTAATTTTCCTTCCCATTGTCATAAAAAGGCAGAGGAGTGAAGGCATGTTCTGTGCCTGTTTGCATTCTGATAAGAGTTGGGCTTTGCTTATGGTGTGCCTCTGGCCCTAGCAGCTGGGAAGCTCTGCTAGCTCCATGGGCTATATCAGCTGAGCTCACCTGAAAAATACAGAGCAAGGAGTTCACAAGGGTTTGATGAAATCCATGCAAAAAGGTTGTCCGTGGACAAGGGTGATTGGGAAGTATTCTAGAAACTACCAGGAAAAGACAGCATTTTGAGAGAATTGTGGGTTGTTCTCTGAAAACCTCACTCCCTAGATTTCTCAGAACTCCTAAAAAAACCCACACTCAACTTGTAAATGTTTTTAGGAGGAGCTAGCTCAAGCTCCTGCATTCATGCTGATTCAGTAAGCAGCCTATGCTACTCTTTGCCTTGCCAATAGGACAAAAGGGAGCTGAGTATCAGAGATTTCTAACATGGCTGTCATTATACAATACGGCAAGACTCTTAAAGCACAACCCAGCATGCCATGAAGCAAATGAGAAGTCTTGCTTGAAGTGCAGTGAACAGTAGATCAAGAAGTTATTTGTCTGGTATTTTAAAAGTATTTCTTTTTACCATTTCAACATACTTTAAATACTAGCCTTGTTTTGATGCTTTTTTTTAATTGGTAAAATTTAAGAGCTTTTTTTTAAATAAATTAGAGCATACAAATTAGTTTGACTTTCCTAGGTCATTCTGTTTCTAAGATGTACCTTCCAAAACAATCAAAGTACCAGAACCATATGGATGTATATGATTTTCACAACACATTTTCTTCAAACAAGGCAAAAATTGTTCTCGCAGTATAAATAATTTATGTCTTTGGTACAATCACTGTAGAGCACGGTGGAGCAGAAACAGTCAAATTCACAAGCAGGAATATTGCCATCAGCAGTACAATTACTATAGGACTTCGTATCAAGGCTGTAACTGAGATGTGACAGTAAGCCCACTCAGTATTAAGGAAAGAACTTAAAAAGTTTAAATTTATCCAAATCAGAAATTTAGGAATAGTGGAGTAGATCTATTCAAAAATTGGTTTGAGATACAGGCAGATTCTAATTTATTTTGGCTTTAAAGCTGTTTTCAAGGGTCATAGAGGAGATTAGAGGAACAACTCTGGGGTGAAATACGAGACTGAAAGTGACACTCAGTCATTTAGTACTTACTCCAGCCAAAACAAATTAGTGAAGAACAGTGACAGAGAAGCCTCCAGACTTGCTGACTGAAAAAAACCCTGGTAAAAGAGCGATATTGAATGGGACCAGGCCCACTACACAGGTCAGATGGGACCACCAGAGCTTTACCTTTTCCTCGATTCTTGTATTGCTTCGTGAGCCAAGCTGCGTGCCCTCCTGGCACAGAGCCTGCATGTCGTTTTCCCCAGGCCAGGTAATTCATAATAAACAGCCCGTCTGGAAGCAGCCCTTCAGATACAAAAGACATTGTTATAACCCAATAATTCTGGTAAAACAGGAACTTCAAAAAGTCAAAGAAATTACTTTAAATGAGTTGAATACCACAACTGAGCACAGTTCAGCAAGAAACACACTTTGCATTCCTCACTGAGTGCACAAGGGTTCCACTTCTATTTATTTTTCAAGGGCTTAATGCCCATCATTATCTGTCAGTGGGGATATTAGGCATTTCATTCTATTAAATTTAAATTTATCTCAGTCTCCAATCATTCAAGTTCTACTATAGCACTTCAGTGAACTATAAGGATACAAGTCTTTTTAATACACAAGTCACACAGACTCCCTAAAACGTTGTCTATTTCTAAATATTCCTGCCTTTCTATACATCACAAAACTTCCTGCATAAACTCTTCTCAGTCATAAGGTAAGCTGGACAAGCTAGACAGCCAGCTAGGCTAGCTATGCATCTTAATTACTGCGGAGGGAGGCCAGTGATTCTTAAGCAACCAAAATTCAATGCTCCAGACTTTGGGATACAAAGAATTTGTATCTTGTGACTGAAACTCTGATTTTTCACATGAAAGGAGTTACATTGTTATTTAATTTTTTAAAAAGGAAATTGAATGACAAACCTATAATTAGAAGTAGCCAACATCAGGAGAAGAAATGCCCTCATATCATATGGAAGAATGAGTAAAAAAATGTTTCTGTGATTTATAATAAATTTCATGGCAATTTTTCTAAAGTCAGAGTTTCAATCAGAGTCTAAAAGGAAGAATTTCCAACTTGGAGGTAATAAACAGAACAGATCCTGAGCTAAAAGGTCTGTGTAGGTGTGTTGCAACGTAACTAGAAAGTCTAGCTGTGCTAGTGGGAGACTACAGACAAGGAGAGGAACTGGAAAAATACCATTCTGAATAAATCACAGCTGGGGAGGAGGGAGGTGAAGGGGGCCACAGGAAGAAACTAAATATCTTGATTTTAAGAACCAAAACGGAAAACTCTATGCTCTTCATGTGAAATACATGGTACTTACTTTCTTGCTGCATATTCCTCAAGGACATATCTTGTCTGAATGTTGCGATAGGACTGATCAAAGTGCTTGTGCCTCCTCTGGTAAAATGGCACTGCTACTGAAGACATATTTCAGTGTGTTACAATCAATAATTCCTACAGAGAGGGAAATCACATTTAGCCATATATTTCAGACACTTAGATTTGATATTTTTTTATATGTAGACATGTATGTGCACATGTTTAAATGGATAAAATTCCACCAATTTATAACAAATAAAACCGTCAATGGTAGACATGGGTCTCAGGCTGTATCTTATCAGATACACAGTGTAAACTAAGGAATCACAGATGATAGAGCTAGGAGAGAACTTGTTGGATTAGTTTTCCCCTTTCTTGCAGATGTCATTTAACACCTCTGTAGAAATTTCCAGGGATGGAAATTTGACCTTTTGGGGTATTTTTAGGTGTTTCAGCTCTCCACTCTTTAAAGCTTTTACTTTGTCCCCCCTTGCACTTGTTTCTTGTCCAATTCACCCACTTTTGCAGAATGCTGTTGATTTCGTTCATATCTCCTTTCAGTTCTCTTGTTTAAACTAAACAAAGCTGGCTCATCTAACCTTTTCTCATGGGTTATTTTTCCTAGACCACCTATCCTTCTGGTTGCTTTCCTATGGACTTTCTCCAAAGCATGGAATAGTTTGATCAGTATTTGGATAGAAGGCTCTCAGAAATGTTCAGGGATGTCCCATAAGCAGTATGGGTGGGAAGAGCACATTTCCTACTGAGTTGGAGTTAAGCAAATTCCCAGCCATGGCAAAAAGAACCTGGAGGAGACCAAATCCCTTTGTGCTCATTAGAAATATGACAACTTCTTGCAAAAGTGGGGAATGTTACCAACTGTGTCCTGAGTAGGTGCCAGCTTGTGTAACTACAGTGTGCTGAATACATCCCATTTACAGTCTCAGTGGGATATGGAGCTTTTTACTCCTGGACCACTTGGCCTAAATAGTGGTGAGGTATTCTGGGGGGCAACTGAACAGCCAACACCTCCCCCATGAGATGTCTGAACTTCAGTGACAATGGAAGCAAATTCCACATACAAAGTCTATAAGCTTGGGACAAATCCTGAAATTTTTTAGTCAGGCAAATTCCTGCAATAAAAATCTTACGTTCTTCTTTCTAAAAATATGACATGTTGTATAGGAAATCCAGCTTTCATTTTTCAAGAATAAATTGCTGCAATGAAATGTAGAAAATTATTTTTTCTGCATATGCAGTCTGGCTAGTAACACAATTAGAAACAATGTTAACAAGTCACAGTTTAAAAATTCATGCAAAAGTCTTGATAGTATTTGCAATATTCCAGCAATTTCATCATTGCTTCCTATTCTCAAATGGAGATTTTATGGAAGGATTTTTCAAAACATGAGGTGCTAATAAAATTTTCATTATGTGACAAAAACCAGCATTGCTTTTGCAAAAAGAAATAAACATTTAGAAACTTATTTTCAGCAATATTTTGTTGAAGTACATTGATTGCCTGTAGTTTTCACACAGTAAAGATTATTGAAGTAAAAAAACCCACAAAAAACAACAAGGTATTTGAAAGTTGACAATGACATAGTGACTGAATTTCTTCAGTATTGAACTAGATCTCATTTTACCAGAAACCACTTTTTTCCTGAAACAGGAAACTTTAATTGAATTGATAGGAGAGGAAATGGAAGACTTCAATTCTTAGTTTAGCATGTCACTTCATTCTTCATTCATGCTTGTTTAGCATTCTTTCCTGAACTGTATAAAATTAAACCCAAATAAAAAAAAAAAAAAAAAAAAAACCAAAACATAACAAAATAAAAAACTCCAGCATGTTCTATGGGCTAAGAAATTGAATCTTTAAATGCAGTAAAATACCCATAAGTGCCATATTTCCAGCATATAGTACTTACTAACAAAAGGAAATACTGGTTATTGATTTAGTAGTGTAATATATTCCACCTGTGTCTGATTTAGTTTTAGGTACTCAAATGTGGAGTCAGATGCCCCCAGTCATGACATTCTCATATTAGCTAATTTTAATTTTCCAAGAAAAAGGTCTCTGCAAGATAAGGCAGTAGATATATTTAATAGCAGATACATCTTATTAAAAGAAAAGTAATAAGATATAAATAGATGAATCTTTACAATTTATTTCCTGAGAGCTGCATCTTCTGCATAATCCATAGTTACCTTTCAAGTCTTTTTCAAGAGATATGAGAATGGCAAATCACACGTTCAGGAAAGAGAGCTTTACACAAAATATCAGGCACTGCAAGACAAAAACAAAATAAGTTTACATTACTATGGGACAGTAATGAAATATATTACCACATTTCTAGAGAAATACAAAAGCTAACAAGACCCATGATAGTGGGTGCAGCAGTACGGTGCAGCAACTCACAGAGATGCTAGCTTAGTTAGGTGCCCTCAAGCAATGCTGAGCTGACATGAACCTATTAAATAGTCATACAACATGTCTTAGTTACATGACACAGTTACACAGACCCATGACTAGCCTTGGCTTCTCCTAGTTTTGGTATCTGTACATGACATTATGCTATACCTGAAGACATTAAATACTGGTTTTCTTCCTGCTGTCTAACTGTGACTATTGTGTATATGACATTTGACTTCCCCCTTAGTTCATACATCAACTGGTCAGTTAATGGTATAATGTTCCCTCTTTTCTATTTTTAATTAACCTTTTCACCTAGATGAAGGTGCAAAGGGCAAACCAATAGATTAAGGGGAAGCCTCAGCTGTTAAGTGCTACTCATGTTTACATGAGGCCCAGTTGAATAATTCTGTGAATTTATCAACATGCAATTTATGTGTTGCTATGTATATAACTCCCGCTGAGATCTGACACAGGAGGGTTGCAGAGTAGTGCCCATGTGTCTGGATGGGTCACAGTCTGGGTTATTTTCGTTTTTGAGATAGGAGAAAACATCTTTGTCATTTAGAGTTCAGCCTTTTCCACTAAATGTAAAATTTTCATTTTTATTTGTATATCTTCTATTAATCAGCACCCAAGATTTATCAAAATTCTGTTCAGATGTTTTTCACATTTACCCAAACATTCTTAGAGTAGAAACACGTGTTGCCATCCACTTCCAGCCTCCATACAAGCAATTAACTGAGCTTATTAGCAGCCAGACTCATTTTGCCTTCTGTTAACACAGAGGGGAGCTGCTTGGCAACAATTCCAAATATAATAATCATCACCAGTTACTTACAGTGATGCTTGCAGAGTACGTATTTAATACTTAATAGTGCTGCAAAGACAAGTATCTGAAGAGCAAAATCACAGCCCCACTGTAAAACCAGCTTCAGCAATCTACAGAGGATGTGGAATGTCTTGAGCTTATAAGAGAAGTTTCTATTGTCTTCCTAGGAAGAATGTGTTGACTACTTTCCCAGTTTTCCTCTAATACATATTTATGTGAGATGTTTGAAATAGATACTAATATTTAGACAACCTACCACTAACAGAGTTAGATAACATGATATGCAGTTGACAGCTTAGCCTTACTGAAGTTACTGATTTAGGTGAACCAAGATATTATTACTGGCAGTGATTGGAAACCTAATTATACTGGCAAGTCACTTGGTGGACATGACCCAAAAGGAAGATGCAAGCAGTGGTCTGGCAAAGGCATTGTGAAAAAAAAAAAAAAAAAAAAAAAAAAAACCAACAGTATTTCCCAATGGGAAACTGAAAATTCAGCAACAGAAAGAAATGCATAAATAGGCCAAGAGAAAAACAAAATAATTTTCTGGATCATGGTAAGAAATATATGCCCTGTGTGTCACAAACAACCCTTGAACTTCATCCATGCACATCCTATTGACATCCTTGGATTTCAAGAAAAAGGCCTGGAGTTACAGGACAAAATGGTCCTAAAACACTTAGGTTCTCATCCAACCTTTATTTTTTTGGTGGAACAGAGCACCATTGTATTCCTACCTTTATTATTATTATTACTACTACTACTACTATTATTCCTATTTATTTCGGCGACTGTGAATGCTGGTGAAATCAGAAGGACCTAAACTGCACTAATCTGTGTACTGTAGAAACCACTCAGAGACTATTAAGCCAAAACAAAAATATTGTCGGCCAAAATGTCCTTAAGAATTAATGATATAAAAAACAGGTGAATTAAACTGTTCAAATCAGTTTACATAAATATACATTTTCACATGCTTAGTAGCATGTACAATTACAAATGATACTTGGTAATGAGTTAAAGGCAGAGTTCCCAGGATATGCATAGTTTCATGTCATAGTAATACTGATCTGAACAGAAAACAATAATCTAGGACCATGTGACAAAGGGCCACATTCTTGAGCAGGGAAGCCAAGGGTCTGAAATAGACATGGTTAGTTTGATAAGTGAGTTAATTTAAGATTTAAAGGACAGGCAGTAAATTCTAGCATGATCATACAGCCTCAGAGAGCAGGCACACAACCAACCAAATTAATGGATGGGATTGACAAATGCCATAGGAAGAACTTGACTGTGATCACCGTGAATAAGAAACTTGCATTCCTAGACTCGGGAGGCTCCTGTCATGAGCAATGCACTATACAGTATGTACTTTCTCTGCCTGACCTGTCAGTGCTATACCATGCAACACGCACTTTCATCTCTGTCCTTGTCCATCAGAAGTGCCAAAAACGATTCATGGGTTCTTGCCTGACCTTATGCTGCCTATCCTCCTCATTCTGGCTGAAAGATCAGTACATCCTGCTCCTACACATGTATCCTCATTCTTGATCTTCCTCTGTATCTCATCTTTCTTAAATAGTTTTGACCATTTATATTTACTTGAGGGTTTCCCATGACATAGGCATTGTTTCCTCTACCTGTCTATAGTTCTGATTGTTCTTCTTAACATTGTTCAAAGTTAAGTATTTGTATGAAGCCCTGTTTTTCCAACTTATACTTCCATGGTACATTAAAGCTCATGATATTTAGCTGATAAAAAGTATTTCATTCTATACAACCGGTATACCACAAAGAAAACAAAAAACCCAAAATCAAAATCAAAAACTTCTTCTAGTCATCAGTTGATTCTAATGACCATTTTAAAGAATTACCATATTGCCTCAGAAAACACATGGTCCTTTCCAGATGGTTATATCAGTCCTGTAGAAATTGCCATAGATAAAAACATAAGAACATTTTCCCCCGAGGAACTTACTTTGGTGGAAACCTTGTAAAACCAGCATGAATCACTATGCAGCTCATAGGCACTGCAGTCTAAAACAGAATGGGATATAGAGGGTCTGGTAGCATCTTCCCTGTTTTGGTAATAAACTTTTAAAATGCTAATATGTCTCTCCAGTCTTCTCTCTCTGTGTGCATGTGTGTATTTAGATCTCACACAGAAAACCATGTTCTGTGTATTAAAAAGGATGATCTTAAGAAATCACACAATCTACTGTCATTTTAAGATGCTTCTGTTTTTTCCATTAAAGAGTTTTTTCCCTTCTGTATAATAAGAATTCAGTTTTACCTTTTTTGACAACAGAATACAAATGTTTCTAAAATTAAAAAGCATATGGAATTCCAGACATTACTTAGTAAGCTTTGAGATTCCTTGTCTTTTCTGACGTCTTTAGCTACATCATATCTGGTCTTAAGTTTTACTGATCATATCTCCTTTGTATGGGAATAGTATTATCCTAGTTTCACAGGTAAGTTTTAAGCAGAAATCTTGTGGACAAGTTCAGCCTGGTTCAAATCATCCCCAGAAGTTCATGTATTACTTTTCTTAGTAAACCTAAATCTGGAGTTCTCTCATCTAATTCTAGTCATCTGAATATCCAGCAAAGCAGCTGTCAATTCTGGCCATCACAGATGTGTCTGTTCTTTATTAATAATTTTATAAAAGAGCCCAGAGATGCTTTCTTATGGATCCATGATCTTACATGACTGGGAATTAAACAAGGTTGAATTTGCCCACATTGACTTTAAACCTCGCCATCCTAACATAGCAAATGCACAAGAAGTTGCAACATGTTCCAATGAAGTTTTAAGATTTCCCTTCACTTGGCAACTATATTACATCCCCTCAACTGGACAGCAAGGAATGTGAGACACAGAGATGGTGAAAGTCACTTCCCATCATCCCAAACTTCATTATCTTTCATTACAATACTTTCATTGGCTCATAGGTATTATCAACACATGGGCATAGTTTCAAGAGCATGAACACGATTTCCCAAGGCTCTATCAGTGGTATTTAGCTGGAATTTTCATGTGGCACAGAACACATCACGTAGCCCAGACACCAGAAATGCATCTTCTGAAGACATGTACTTGGAAATATGGTAGACAAAATATTAAAGCAGAATTTTTTGTCCTAGCTACATCCTATTCTCTAGCATGCCAAATACTTTTGCCAGTTACTATAGGACTTTATGCTTAATCATTTACACACACCCTTCAGATAAATCGTGTTTTGTCTCTTTACACAGTATAGCATACAAGAAAGTTGCATTGACAATATATGTGTAGTTGGAGAAGCTCATATACCAATAGAGCAATGGATTGGCATAATGTAGATCTTTATATGTAGAAAGAACACGGGAAATGTACTACAGAATAAAATCAAGCTGACTATACACAGAAGAAAACAATTTTACTTCGCTTTTTTTATTATCTTTTCATAAATCAATCTATGTCCTGTTTATTGATTGCTTTCCCAAAGGAAGATAATTTATTTTTTTAAAGAGAAACACCCAACACCTCCCACAATCACCCTCATTTGTTCTGAACAAGAAAAACCTAGATGAGAAATGGACTTACCGAGGGATACAGAAAAATTTCGGCACAGAGAAGACCAGCCTTTCCCAGCTTTGTAAACTCTGTCTGAGGAAAACAAAAATAATTCCCCTCTCTAAAGGCTACTGCCCCTTCACTCCCATTTAAGGGAAGATGCAGTGCTATATTTAGAACTAATCAAGTGATTCTCCCAAAAGTGAGCCTAGTAGGAAATAAGGGTGTGATATAAAGGCAGAAGAAAAGCCCTACACCATATGCGATTCTACACTGTGTTTTAATAAAAGATAGACCTCGATCCTAAAAAAAGCAGTTGTTTATATTGGGATTTCTTTTCACAGCAATACCAAGCACATTGGAAACAGTTTAATGCTAGAAAACAGTTGAAACTTTTTATATAGAAATGACTGATGTTTTAAAATAATTACTAACTTAGAAGACCAGTGGGGAGACACAAACTCCGGAATCTTATTAGCAGAGACATGAGATCCCCTTGCTGCCTCAGGCTGTAAAAGGAGCCTCCCTGTTGCCTCATTAAGAGCTCCCTGAATTTGAGAACATGGCTGCAATATGTGAAGGCATAGCAACTGTATATAAGTTTTATTGACATGAATTTAAAGAAAGACCAGTTCCTAATCACTATTTCCATCTCCATAATGTCACCAGTCAACTTGAGAGAGACTTCTCTGCGTTTTGCAGGTAAAGTAGGAAGAATTAATATGCACAGAGACATATACGGGCAGAGTTAAAAAACACAGGCAAAGCACTAAATTCTGTGACACCCTGGTGGTGCCTGATTACTACCAATTCAAATGGACGTTTGGTGCTTGTAGGGCTCCAAGATTTCTATTCAGAAGCTCAAAGGCACCGCTATGGTGAGTCTGAGGTGTCCAGATGCAATGGGCTAGCGGCACTTGCTCTGCAGAGCTGGTTAGTGTGGGCTCAGTATGCTCCATTTGGGTAGTATGCAAACCCATAGGGATTTGTTCCATACTGTGAGCCCCTATGGGGGAAGAGAAAGGAAGGGAAAGGAAAGGAAGGGAATCTGACAAGGCTTTGTGACAAGCATAAAGAAGTAATCACATTCCTCTTACTCTGTCTGGAAATACAACAACATGTCTGGGAAAACCTGGCTATATGGCAGACTTAATCAGCCCTCGTGTCTTGGCCCATAATGACTCAAATATCTAGTGAGTCAGCAACATACAGTACATAGGGAATTCACTGATATTCAAAATATTCAAAAATAACAATGTCTATTTTCAATTTACTTATACAGGGATGCTGTCAAGACTAAAGTCACTAAATGACAGTTAAGATCTTCCAGTCCTTGATGTAAGAAACTTTGACACATGAACAGTGTTCTTTTAAGTCATGCTTTCTTCTTATGCATACATATATGGAAAGAAAGGCAAGATGTGGAAAAGACTTTAACAAGCAGATTCTTATAACATCCATGGTATTCATCCAAGTTTTCTAAATAGCTCTGGTAAAGATGTCCCTACTTTCTTTCTATCTAGGACTACCATTTGCTTGACACAGACTTCTCCCTTCCTCCCATTGGTCTTAAATTATAACTGAGTCTGACAGAATTAGATCTACAGAGACAGACACAGTGGAATGTGTGCATATGCACTGAGCATAAATGTTGCTTCGGAGCAGCTGTCAAAGTAATTAGCATGTAATAATCCAGAGCAAACCTACTTTGCTTACCTCCTTCTCTCCTACTGTATTTTCCTGTGGGAGGTAAAAGGTCAGTTTGCAGTTTAAAGTTCTGATTACACTCTCTGCTTTTAATTTCTTGTTCTAAATTGTTTATCTTTAAAGAAATGGAGGAATGTACAGCCTGCTCTGTCTGCCTTTACACTTGATCTCTCTTCTATTTAAAGTTCTTTCTTCAGGGTGTGCATGGATGTCAAAAATGCTAAAGTGCACCCTGAGGGCTATGGGGAACATACCATAGGCAAGAACAATCCATGCAATGGGGCTAGTCCCAGATTGTCTCCAGGTAAGTCAATAAATAAATTCTCCTTCTCTTCATAGCTACTCACAAAATAGGATAGAAGAGAAAACTGCAATATTGTGTTATTCAGTGGTGTTGAAATTTAGGCATCAGAGCACCAAAAATTATTCAGCATTTTAGTCATTAAATAATTTGCATTACATTCTCAAACAAACTTCCTGCCTGACACTAAAGATATCTCCTCCTGATCCCACTTCCCAAATAGAAGTTCTTCCCTAAGAGGTGCTTTTTTTAAAGCAGAGATTTAGCAGGGTATCAAAAGGATTATTCAAGTGCTTAAAACTGAGCATGTGCTAAAATCCTTTTGTAAATGTGGTATTTTAGAATTATTCTTTATGTTATGCCAGTCCCTTGATGTGGGATACAGGCTTAAGTAATGGCTCAGCTACTCCAGTAAAGGGGAAGACAAAGACCTGAAATGGAGCTCAGAAAAAAGATGCATTAGCTTTTTAGCTGCTGAAGGAAACATCCATACAGTAATGAAATGAAAAGTAATGGTGTTAGAAGAGGTACGTTTTTAGCCCATTAAGAGTGTCTTAACAGTGGCCTTGTGCTTTTAGCTTTCTCCAATTCCAAGAAAACCTAATGCATCTTTGCATGGCAGCTTCTGTAGTCCAGCTTTGTGATACGTTAGCTCTTGATTTCTTCAAATGTTTGCAGCATATTTATAGTTTCATATAAATTAAAAGCAATGAAGTTCCTTATCTCTGCAGCAGTCCTAATTATTCACAAAACCCTATGGTAAGGTTTGTGAAGCCATGATAGAACAATGGATACTGGGCACTGGTGATCATAAAGAAGTCTCTTGGATTTCCCTCACAGCTACCCAGGTCATAGCATCCTGCTCAGTATTACAAATGAAAGACAAAGCAATGCGTGCAAATTCAACTGTATGAAAAATAAATCATGCTCTTACCTCAAGTACTGCTTCTGGTCAGAAGTTCAGGGTCGTCAAGTATGGGGTCCATATATGTACCAAATAGGATGTGTCTTATTCAAAAGAGAATGCCACCTCCTGTAACAATTTAAAACCATTTTGGAGGCAGTGTTCCTGCTTATAAAGATTAGCTAAGAGAGCAGCAGCAGATGCACTTGACTGCTGACAGCACTGTACATGTATTCATGCAGCTGAGCACAGATCCCCATGGGAAAACATCTCTTTCTGGTGGGGAGAGAACAACCCCAGTTCTTAAGAAATTTAAACACTTCTCTCTCTACCTCCTACTTTCTACTTACTTTCATTTTTCTTGATGCATTTTCACTTCCTCTATTAGAACCTCTTTATTTTCTTTTTCAGTACCCAACTTGTGAGTATTTTAAGGCCATATGCAACTGCAAACTGCCAAAAGCTAAAACCCTTCCCAGAAATGAGGATAGGCTGTGTGGACATGAGACCGTAGAAGAGCCAAGACATCTGGAGGAGGAAAAGGAGGAGACACTTGCAACCAAGGGGAGGCTCTGCGGCTTGCAGGAAAGAGGACAGTGGCAGCTGAACAAAACAAAACAAAACACTTGCTAGAAGCTGTTTTAATCCTCAGACAGAGATATTCAAGCAGCAATTCAACAGAGCTAGACTGAACTGCATCCAGAACATCACTCACTCCTTGTACAAGCCTTTGAACAAATACTAAAATACCTGAATATACAAAATGTTGTGACTTTTTTTTCCCCTGCAAGGTAAAATAAAGTGAATCTCTTAATAAGTATCCTTTTTTTATATGTGAGAAGACAAACACACCACTAAGTTACAGTGAGTCAGTCACTCAGAAGATATTTAAACTGTAATGTGCCACCTTGCTGTCCAAGGACCCACTCTGGAGCACATCAGACTCAGTGGTAAGGTTTTACTGACTCAGGAAAGCCCTGATTCATATCCTTCTTGATTTAATGCCTCTTTTAAAAGTTGACAGAGGGTTAGTTCAGCCACAAACAGAAAATACGGAGTTGCCTGTTGCAGCAGAATGTTTCAACTACTGATTTTGTGAGTTACTGCAAGTGGGAAGAAGAGTATATTTTCCACTGCTTTGGACAGCATAAGGTACTCTAAAATTGATAACAGGCTGACAGCAATACTTAATTAAAATTGGGGTTTCAGCCAGTGGGAATGCTTAGCTAAATATGACTTGCTAAATTTTAGGGTGAGACAAGCAAATTACAGTCTCTCACCAGTGATGTGAAGTTATGGCTCAGATTTCAAATGTTGGGTTTTTTTTTTTAATTTAATCAAGTCTTTTGGAAGTGTTTCTGATAAGACTTAATGAAAACAACAACACCTACTACAGTTTACTAACTGTAGTTAGTTAAACCACACCATAGGAGATCCCCCTAGCAGTATATCATCAGCTCAAAGGCACCTCTTCACTTACCATTATAATGAGATCTACTTTTCCAATCAAGTGCAAAGATGAGGACCATAAAGATTTTTGTCTTACCCTGGTATATTTATGCCAGAGTCACACAGCATGCTCTGTAGGTATCCGCTGCAGCAACAGTTATCTCTATCAACTAATCTCAATGTCAGGAACAACAAATTAAATCCAGACACAACCACGGGCTGTAAGAGGGCAGAGACAGGAACTACTTAAGCTGCAGCCATGTGGTGCAGAGGCTTCACCTCCCTGGGAAATGCAGGCAAGAGTCACAAATCCACTGCTGGGTAGCACCACGCAAAGTCTATTTTAATGTCTTTAGGCTTTACTTGCTGCCAGCTGCAGCGGTTACTGCTCATAACAGCACCTACATACAGGACTCACACCAGACATAAGCACAGACAAACCAGCCACAGAAGCACAGAATGGTTGAGGTTGGAAGGGACCTCTAAAGGCCATCTTGTCCAGCCCACCCGCTCAAGCAGAGCCACCTAGAGCCGGTTGCTCAGGACCATGTACAGATGGCTTTTGAATATCATCAAGGATGGAGACTACACAACCTCTCTGAGCAACTTGTGCCAGTGCTTGGCTACCCTCACAGTGAAAACAAATGGGTTTCTCAGTGTTCAGACCCCCTGTGTTTCAGGTTGTGCTCAGTGTCCCCTACTCCTGTCTCCTCTT